TACAAACGTCTAATAATACGTAAAAAAAAATATAATACTATGAAAAGAATAAAAAAATAAATTTAAAACTAATAATATTAAAATATAAATACACATAAAATATGATATTATGTTCCATTATTTTGAAAATTAAACCGGAACCACTAGTTTAATAAGTCTAACCGAACATTAGTTAAGAAATTAATTCATTATTTTCAAATAACTGAATTTGAGTACAAAATTGGTAAAATCAATTAATGTTAAAGATTGATAAGTTGTTATATTTTTCTATAATAAATATAATTAAATTAATTAATAATTTTAAAATTTTGCAAAGATATAGTTGAAATGGTATTTAGTGATTGAAAAGAAAATAGAGTTTATACATGAATTTGTGACGATGGATAAAGTACAGAAAGTTATTTTGAATTTGTTTGTTGAAATAAATAGAAAAAGAAAGGATAAGAAGAACTTGAAACGTTGGATACACTTTTTGAAGGACAAAGTTTTGAAGATACTTTTGATTTGGTCCAGAAATCATGTGTGTAAAGGGATTGAAATGAGCAAGTTTTTATCCATCATTCACAAGTACACTATGCTGGTCCACTTTACCATTCCTCTTTTAATTCATTATTATAATACATTTAAATAATTATCATTTTTTTTTTACTTTTTATTTTCAAATAAAACATACAAAGAGAGACACCAATCGTTTTACTTTCTTCAAGTCTACTATTTTATGTTTGGGATGCATTAATTTGGTCTACACAATTATATACAAATATTAACTTCTCCATCAATTTATCAATATTTTTTTAATAATTATTTTTTCATTATGAAATTTAGAGATGTTTAAAATCGAATTAATCAAAAATAAAATTGAAAATCAATCAAAACCGTTTTTTTTGGATTAAAAATATTTAAAATTGATTCGATTCGTTTCTCAGAATTAACCTAAATAAAATAAAATTATAATTATAATACGTATTGTTGAAATTAAAGTATAAAATGAACTTTTTTGGAAAAAAAAATCAATTACTTTTTTATAATTTAGTATATTTATTATTATTATTTTAAAATTGAATATGGAAGTTTGTAAAAATAAATTGAAATTATGAATATCATATTTTTATAGTATATATTTTTTTATTAAATAATTATTTTATGATAATATATTTAACCAATTTATATTTAAAAAACCACTTAAACTAAATTGTAAATATTGATTTACTTTAGTTTTCTTAAAATAAAAATTAAATAAAATCTAATCACGTTTAATTTTTTGTTTGATTGGAGTGACTTTATTAAACAGTAAAATCTGATATTAAAAAAATATTTTTGTAAATAAAAATAAGTGGATAAAAATATCAGAACACGATTCTCAAATTCATCAGATTTATTATATAATAAAAATATTATCTTTATCAAATAATAATGCATATTTAATCTATTTGATTACTGTATTATAATCAACATTAAAGAAACATAATCTATTATCTAAAATATTATGATAAAATTAATATAAATAGGATTACTCTAACATTTACGAATCATTCAATATTTACTTGGATACTTTCTTTTATTATTATTATAATAATAATAATAATTTAAATATTAGAATGTCTTTACATTTTATATATGTTTTTTTTAAATTGAGCTGAGAATACCTACCAACGTAGATAACTTATTTTTAAACTTATTTATTATTATATTTTTTTAAAACACACAAATAAATATTTAAGGATAAATTTTACAATAGGTATTTAATGAATTTTATAAATGGAGTATTTATTATATATATATATATATATATATATATATATATATATATATATATATATGAGTATTTAATATGCGATAAGCATGTGATCTTTGATATAAGTCACATGTGTCCTTTAAAACGGGAAGATTCAAAGTGGAAAAGTGCTGCTTTTCGTTTGCTGTGTTGCAGGTGTCTCCACATGGCTATCTCCATCACCATCACCTCCTCCATTTTTTTTTTCTTTAACTTTTAATGTTCCCGTTCAAATCTTTTTAAGCTTAAAATTAAATCTAACATCATTTTTTCTTTTCAATTTTTACGACTAGTATAAAAGTAATCTAATTTTTTAATTTCAACTTCATGTGATTCTATATATATACTAATAATCTTCATTAACTTATTCTTAATTATACTACTCTCAATAGGTTTAAAATTATGATTATCCTTTACTTGGTAATAGAGAACATGAAGATTTATTCAATGGTTGAATCGAAAAGAAGATGTCAAACACTACACATGCACACATGAATGTTTATCTCATCTTTAACGAAAAGATAATGGAAGAATGAAAAGTGTATCAACCAGCAACAAAAGAAATAGGCTTTATCAAAGAATTTTAATGAAATTATGATAATATTAATTAAATAGAAAACCTAAATTGATTAAAACCCAAAAATTATTTATATTATTTAAAAATCTTAATTGTATCATATTGTATATATATATATATATATAACTTATTGAATACACCTTTTAGCATTTATACTAAGAAGATAAAATGTGTGTTTGTATAGATTATAAGATTCTGAGCAGCCACAAAACTGATTTTGTTTTGTATCCACATGTGTGATTGAATGGACAAGTTCCTACTTGAGTGGAAGATGGAAAAGATTAATATTCCAAATTACAAGGTAGAGTTGGAATATTAGATGTGGCTAATGGTAGTAATTGATGAGTGGATTCAACAAAATAAAGATTCCTCCCATTCAATGTCCAGAATTAGAACATCATTATCAATTTGTACTCTTTGGTTTTCATGTATTGAGTTAAAGAACAAACATGCATGCATGTTCTTTTGTTTTTTACAACCTCATGCAATTCGATCCTTCAACCTCGTTTTAGAATAAAAATATACAAAAGGGAATTTCTATTAATATTATAATATTATAAATATGATTATCATTCTTATTTTATTACTTACATTTTTACAATTGAATTAGATACTTTTCCAACTTTTTCTTTAACTGATGTAAAGATATTATCATACCTAACTTTAACCATGTAGAGATATAAATTTTTTATTCAGAAATAATCCTTCTCGATAGAAGAGAATATATTAAAAAAAATTGTTTAATAAAAAATTCATCTCAAAATAGGAGATGTGATAAAAATATTGATATTATTAATATAGTATATAATTTAGTATAAAAAATTAATCATTTTTAATTAATAAAGTTTAGATTAATCATTTTTATAGGTGAAAAGTATATAATAAATTAATCATTTTTAATCAATAAAGTTGGTAAGGGATTGAGATTAATAATTAATCTTTATAAAAAAATTATCTATAATATCTTTATATAGACAAAATTTTATTTATGATTTGTAATTTTACACATTTTTTTCTATTTTTAATTAATATATGATTCACACTTTTCAAATTTTTATTATTTTTATTTATTTATATCTATTTAGATTTAAATTTAATTTTTTATTTTTAATACCAAAATATATTCATTATATATATATATATATATATATATATATATATATATATATATATTACTATTACTAATTAATTTTAATTTAATTTTAATTTAATTTTTTAATATATTTTATAAATAAAAAACTCTTATCATTAAAATATATGATTTTAATTAATCAATTATATTTTATTGATTTTAATTGCTAAATTATATGAATATATAACTAATCAGTTATATGAATATAAATAATCGATTATATTAAAAAAATTAACATTATTATATTAACAAAATAATACTATTATATTTATTATATATGAATTAATATTGAAACATAAAAATATTTTTTTACATTTTTTATTTATAATAAAATTAAAAATATATTTAAATAAAATTTTAATTTACTTAAATATTTTAATATTATAATATAAATTATTAAAAAAATAATTTTTTAATTATGTAATTTTAGTGTATAATTTGATTTTTTATTATGATATATTTTATTTTTCTAATTAATAAAATTGTAGATGGTTTATAATTAATTATGTAAATAATTTAAAATTTATTTTTAAATAATTTTCCAAATAATATTTTTTTAAGTTTAAAAATACTTATAAATATTTATAATCATAAAAATTAAAATTAAAATATTTTTATAAAATATCACAAATTATTTTTATAATTTAAATATAAATTAATTTAAATATATTTAAAATTTTATAATATAAATTAATTATTTTATGTTAAATTATATCATAATTCTAGTTTATACTTCGAATTATACTTATAATTAATGATAGAAATATTTTTATCAATTATTTTTTTATTCAATTGCGTCTTTTTATTCATTTCTCATATTTTTTATCATTTTTTTATTCAAACAATCTTATTTTTTAAAATTTCTTTTTTATTTTATTTCGGTGAATAGTAATAATTTTTTTTTATTTCATCATAGTCAATATAATAATAATAATAATAATAATAAATTTGTTCATTAGTAATAACCATCTTAAAATTTTAAGAATAATTGTCTTTCATGCTAATAGTGATATATTATTGATTAGGACTAAATATATTTTTTTCGTCTTATTATAAATTATCGAACTTTCCTGTTGGTTTGATAAATGTTTATGAACTTTTTCATTTTAATAATTTTTTATTTTAATTTTTGTCCCTAAAATACTGTCTAAATCATTTTATTTTCATGTCTAAAACAGTATACCATTGAATAAAGCAGAAAAAAAACTAAAGATTACGAACTAAAAAGGTTTTAGTAGGGAAAATGCAGATTAGTTAGACTCTAAAAGTAAATATCAGTCCCAAGCTACAAAATATAGAGTATAGCATGTACAAAATAAACTTATCATCATAAACGTTGATCTAATTTTGTATATGAGCGGTGCCTCTCCCCTACAATTCTCATATCTAAATGTTCAGTTAACTACAAGGAAAATGCCAAATAGAAGAAAAAAATAACAATAAAACAGTTCAGTACTCAAGGACAGAACGTTCCAATGACATCTAAGTTGTTAAATGTGGTCGTCATTTTTTTTGCCTTAAGGGCTGCATAGATTCTTCAAATCCTCTTCCTTTGCATACCAGTTTGGTATTATTTTGGAAACATAGGGAAAAAGATCCTTGAACGAGTTCCTAATGGTTCCTTCTGCAACTCCCGTAGCGACTGATATATCTGCACCATCACAGTGGGTCAGATACCAACATGTAATAATGGCTCAGCAGCTGATTCTTACGGTAACTAAGACATTCATACATATGAATACTGTTTTAGAAACTTATTTGCAATCAAATTTAATTCCAAATTCATCACATGAGAAATCGAGGAAACAATTAAACCAATCGATATGTTATTATTTCATTGGTTTCATGTTTCACCCTGGGAAGTGGCACTGACCTTTGAGAGGTTTTTTATCATCAGAAAGCTGAGTTATGATGTATATAACTGCTGCAGCAATTGATATGGGGCTCCTCCTGGCAGATTAAAGATGCTATTAGTATCTATCATAAGAAGATAAATCACAAAATCACGAAGAAAAGAAATGCGTTTGTGAAAAATTAAGGTGCAATTAAATAGGCTGAGAGGAAATCTATAAACACCAAAATGGATTCAAGCAGAGGTGAGAGGACAACGCAAATTATTTATGTCCTGCAAAAGTCACTATTGGGAATTTAATGACTCACGCAATTATGTGTAACACGATAAAGCATGCCTCTGTATGTCTAACAGAAGTTCATGACCCCACAACTCAACCTTGCATGGTTAAAGGAGAAAGAGTTCAAATTCAAAGCTATTGTATACAACTTTATACTTTTGCCACCTGAAATTCCTCTCAGTAGCGACACTGATCAACAATAACCGTAGACATGTATAATACCTTATATCAAATTCTTCTGATTTCTGAACAGCTTCCTGAGCAGCTTTAACAGCTTGATTATTCATACCGAGATTAGAACAAAAACGTCTCTGGTGATTGAGGAGAAAATGATTTTAGTGTAATAAAAATAAGATTAATTACTCAGCTAATGATTAACTTAGCAAGCAGTGCTACACAAGTACCCCTCATCAATTAAAAAAACTCACCATAAAGTCCCCAGCATGTATTGTTCCCATCTCTACAGATTGGCCTTTCTCCAAACCCAGTTGTTTCACTATGTATTCTTTCGCTCGGCCAATTTCCTTCTTTGCGGCTCCATTGGCAACAGAGCAAATTTCTATTTGAAATCCATAGGTTCAGGTGAGGTAATTTACATATGGAAAGATAGATCAGGAAGCATCTAAATGTCAAAAGAATCATAAGCTGTGTACCCTTTACAGTGCGAGGTTTGTCTTCTTGTCGACAAGCAATGTAGAGGCAAGCAGCTAATAATGCATCCTGATTTCTTCCTCTACTAGACTTCTGGTCTTCAACTCGTTTATATATCTCGTTAGCCCGATCCTTCAAATCAATTGCAAACACAACATAAGGGGAGAACAAATACTAATTTTCCATGAAATTCAATTTTGAACTCAAAAGATAAACTAGAATAACTGCTTCAAGGAGCAATTGACATAATGTAAAGTATATAAACATTGCCCATACAAGCTCAACGTAAATGTTTGGCATTAAGAAACATTGTTCGACCCTCTAACAAAGTTAGAATGCAATAATCACACATAATTACTTGTTTGTCTCACCATCTTGTAGCACTGTTAACTCACGGACAAATTTTACAACATTCGTATACATTTTCAGAAGAAACTTTTATCTCTGTGTGGATAACTATGGAGTAACCTAGTTTTTTATGGTAATTCATTTGCTATTCCAGATAATGGTCTGGTTAGATATTTAATTTCAGATATTGAAGAGTTGTCCAGCATTTTAATCTTTTGTCGAAATAAGGAATTTAAAATTCAATTACAATAGGAAGAACCATGGAATTTGTCATTCTAATGGAACACGTCTACAATGCAGGTGGGCCCTTGCAAGACTGGAATCTTCCCAGAGATGCAGGGTTACAGTCCCGTTCCCATGAAATGGAAATGCCAGTGCATTGCCACAAACGATTTTCAATAATCAGTGACCTCGTGCAACCGGAAAATCATTGAAGCATTCTATTACCCAATGGGTATGAGACTACCAACAATGTTGTTAAATGGTGGCGCCATGGCCGCCATTGCAGATGGCGACCATAGGCAATTTGTGAAGGAAGGCCCGCTAAGGCACCACCATAGGCTGCAATCATGTGCGTGTTTATATGGAAGAATTTTGACTTTCCGCCATTGATAACACTGACTAATGAAAAGATGAACGAGAAAAACGAGTATGTTTGCCACGACACTCTGATAGATACAACACACATGCATTGATCGCCGCTAGAATGTAGATGCCGCCAGAACCCACTGGGGGTACACAGATACACCAATGGAGTGATATCCGACATGGCATCGATGACCGACCAACCTTGCCTGTACAAGGTCTTTGGAATGGTGGGTGAAACACCTCCAATATCCTCACCCCCTTCAACACCGCCATGGCATTTCTCAGGGTCAGAAGCATGGCGGTGCCACACCACCACAAACATCATTGCTAATTTTGGGGATTCAAACATGGTAAGCATTTGGTCTCCAATCCATCACCAAGAAATTCACACAATTTCATCCACCACGTCCTTGCAAAGAAGCCTGAATGGCAGCAACAGGACACCATAGTGGTTGGCACTCTAGACCAACATTACCATGGACCGCCATATGAGGGCTAGGTAGCCGGCGGCAAAATCGCCACTGAGGTTTCCCCCCCCCCCAGTCTAAAATCACAGGGCAAATCAAGAAATCCAAAAAAGTTGTTTCACTATTTAGCAAAATTTGGTTTTGACTACTTTCAATCGAGTTACTTTACGTTTCAAATTCCAACTTTCTAAAACACTTCATCAAGGTCTAGAAAAGAACACGGTTCATAACTATGTCATATAATATAACGACAAAACAAATATCGCAAGAAGATAACAAGCAGTACCTTGATAGTTGCAACGAGTCCCAACCTGAAATTCCACCGCTAGCCACGTCAGCCAATACGACAAAAATAAACCTCTCTCATTTAATTTAAACGAATAAATAAATAAACAAATGCGGAGTGTGTGACCTATCGGACATGGTGGCGATGGTTTTGAAGGCGACGATGAGTCCACGGTCGGGGTTGGAGCCGCGGTTCTGCCAGCGGCCAAGGGAGGATGACAGGAACTCGCCGGAGGCGCCGTTCGGCCTGGCGATGACAGTGGAGAGGCCGCCGTCGGTAAGAAGCGGGTTGGTAGGCCCGCCGACACGCACGGGGTCGTTGTCGCCGGACTCGTTGGCAAAGGTTCGCCACTCGGAGGTTTCGTCGATGGAGTGAGACTCCAAGACGAGACCGCACTCGGAGCACACCGTGTCCCCCGCCGAGTGGTCGAACACCACCTCCGTCTGCCTCTTGCAGTCGCTGCAGAACGCGTCAGACATGTCTCAGTCTCTCTAGGGTTTTCAGTTTCAGAAGATGAAGAAGAAGAAGAAGAAAAACTCAGTGGTCCAGAAAATTTTGTGATTATTTGTTGTTAGAAATTTAAACTACATTAGCAGAAGAGGGTACAGAGAAATTTTTTATTATCCTATCATGAAACGGAAAGAAAGAGAGAAAGCATCGAATGCGTTGAACGGGGTGTTCAAATGCTGTTCTGTTCTCTTGTTCAGTATTTATGTCATGTTGGAGAAGAGTGCGCAGGTGTTCAAATCAAAATACCATTTTTAAAATAGTATTAGGAAAGTCATGTGGTTTTCGTGCTCAGACCGATCCTTACTAACGTTTCGGGTTTCGTTTTCTTTTTTTTGCTTCCTTACGACGTCGTATGCCTGCTTTTAAATTATTTTATTAAGTGAGATAGATTTGTGTAATAACTTAATAGTGGTGATAAACTTCCATAAGCTTCATTTAATAGTAAAATTAATTGACGAGGGGCATTAAATGTTTTTTTTTAATATTATTTATTATTTTGAATATTTTTATAACCATCTTTAAAGACATTTACTAACATAATTACATAAGGTGCATTCAATATTTATATTAAAATATTTCATCCGTTAACTTTTTGGTTTATTTTTAAAATTGTTTTACAATAATAAAATACAATAATTTATTGATTTTAATAAAATAATTGTATAACATTTTAATTATTGTTCTTTTTATTCTAAATTAAAAATATATATATATATATAAAAATTATTTGAAAATAGAAAGAGAGGTAAGAGTATAATTAACAAACAGAATACTTAATGAGATATTAATTTTATCAATAATAAATAAATAAATATAAAAATTCTTCAAAAATTCGAAGGTTAAAAAGAAATTAAGAAAATATATATTATCATTAATTTATTCCATATGTTATTTTATCAATCTTTAAATGGGCATTTATTATAAATTATAGAACATGCTGTATTAAATATTTTTCTTAAAATATTTATTAATATGAATTTAATAATTTATATATGACTTTTACTAAAACGTATATCATTTCATATCCTTTTATAATAATATTTAAAGAATAGTTATTATAAAATAAGATCTCAGTATATAAATATAAGAAAGAATTAAATATAATCGATAATAAGATTATTTGTATTTAAGCTTTTAGTCTGAAAAAAAAAGTGTACAATTAAAAGTGAGAAATATAAAAAATGAGTAGAAAGTAACCATTTTTCTTATTTAATAATAAAAATATAATATTTTTATTATAATATACATGTTTATTTTTTTCCTAGAATAAAAATTAAGAAAAATATTATTTTACAAAATTATTTTTACTTAAATGATTATTCATTTTTATGTTTATAACTTTTATATATATATATATATATATATATATATATATATTAACAAAATATAATGTGATTATAAAATTTAATTTTATATATTTTTATTAATTTAATTTCAAATAATTAAAAAAATATATAATAAAACATTTTATAATTATATATCAAGTAGACATGTCGGTCATGTGATCGTAAAGGCGAATCTTGTGGACCAATTATTCAAAACCTTTTTTTACAAATATTTTGTAAATGGATATGGTAAAATTTTATAATCAAATCTTTTAGATTTTTATTTCACACTTATTTTGAAATTTTGAAATAAAAGAAATATTAAAAGTACTATAATTTGTCTTATCTTCTTTCTTTCATATAATACATGTCTTCATATATACACATTGATGTTGTTTTTTTTTTAAAGATAAACCACAAAATTTTTGCACATGCTGAATTTTATCCATCAACGTACCATTATTTATCTTATATAATAATATAATTTTTGTATGATTTTGATAATGTTGTTTATATCATAAATTGTCATAAAATTACAATATTACCACTTATAAAGAAATAATTTATTTGTTAAAAATTATTATAAGGGTATGACAAATAATCTACATTACTATAATTCATTAAATATGATTTTTTTAAAGCACAGTAAGAAAGATGGATAGTAATATGAAATATTTTCCTATATTTTGAAGAAGATGATTTTGATGAAAATTTAAGTTAACACTATTCAAAGCTCATGCAAGCCTAGAAACTAGATAAAGTCTTAGAACACTAGATATATAGGTGTAAGTTGATGAAATAATATTATACATAAACATCCTAAACATAAGTGTGAAACAATTTTCGTATTATGACATTTTTCACTGTCATATATAATCGATTATGACAGCAAATGAAGCAACTGTTTTTTAAAAACTCATTGTCATAAGCGATTATGTAAGTACCATAATTGATTATGATATATCAGAAATGAAAATTGATTTTGGCTTTGTTATAATCGATTATGATACTTCAATTTTGAAAAATATATCCATTCTTGAAGAGTTATAATTGTTGGAAACATCCTGATTTCTACGAAATAATTAATGACCAACTACCATTTTTTATTTTCTATTTTAACATATTCAATGTTATTTTCCTATATAAATAAATTTTGATAAAAAATCAAAATACCGAACTTATACAAAACTTGAATACATAATTTGAATACACAATTTACAGGAAATCAATTTTGAGAAAATTCTTCTGTTCTTTCATTTTTAATCGCCCTTGTTCTTGGAGCTATCATTCTACATATATCTACAATTTGTTGTCTCCATTACCAGGTATGACTGTTCTTGTTGAAATTCTTGTTATTTATGGTTTCCTTTATGGGAACTGTTCATCCTCTTTTATTTGTTCAGAAGAGGTGTTCATCTCAAGTGTGATTCTTGAGAGGTGAGTTTCATCTTCTTTGATTTATTTAAAGGAGGTGTTCATCCTCTTTGATTTATTTAGAAGAGGTGTTCATCTCAAATGTGATTTTTGAGAGGTGTGTTTCATCCTCTTTGATTTGTTCAGAGGAGGTGTTCATCTCAAGTGTGATTCTTGAGAGGTGTGTTTCATCCTTTGATTTATTCAGAGAAGATTTTCATCCTTTGGTTTGTTCAGATGAGGTGTTAATCTCAAGTGTGATTATTGAGAGGTGTGTTTTGTAACATCCAAGTATTTCCCAAAAATATTTCATTAATATAATAAAATATTTTGTCATTAACTTTAATAAAATGGTATTATGAGTTATTCTAAGACTTGATAATTTTTAAAGACATTAATAAATAATATATATATATATATTATGAAATTTGTAATAAAGTGAAATAGATAAATTTAGAATTGAGTTTAAAATGAAGTAATAATAATAATAAGAGTAATATCATTAAGCAAAATTAGTAATATAATTTCCCATTGATGAAATGATTTAACTGGTAAGTGCAAAAGTAAGTGAGAGTAATTTTGGAAAGGAAGTCAAATTTAAAGAAGAGAAAGACCAATTTTCTTTCTCACTTACTGAAGCCATTTTGGGAGCACGGAGGAAGAAGAGAAGCTTGATTTTGCTTGCCCACACCATCTTGGTTCATCCTTTTTGCAATTAAGAGTAAAATTCATGAAATTAAAACATTGAATTTTAACATTATCTCCTAAAAGCTTCTTAATCTCAAGTATATCATTAGTTTGATGTTTATAGAAGACAAACCCTTTCTTAAACTAAAGATTTTCATTTTCTTAGTTAAAAACTTAATTTAAAGTAAGGAAAGTTTTATTGTAATCCAACCCTAGTCTAAACCATCATTTAGAATAATTTACCTAATTTTCATTACCCTAATTCTTTAGCGTGTGATGAAGTTTTAAAAGTGAGCAGCCTCCGATAAATTTTCTTTCCCTCTCGGAACTCATTTCTTTCCACACTCACACCTGAACTCCGCACCCATATTTTTGTTCATCTCCCATCTTACCCAAAATCTACTAATCCTATCACTCACACGCTGGACCCCGCACATCACTCACTCTCATCCCCGTAGCGGCACCCGCCGCTTCCCCTCATACTCACCATTCACTCATTCCCTTTCTCCACCTTCGTCCTCTCTCCTTCACTCACAGACATCTTCTTCAGCAAACCCGCACACCCCGTCTTGGCAGCCACCTCCATTGGGATACCCACTACCTTCTCCCTTGCCAGCCTCTGCCGCCACCCACTCTACACACTCCCACTCACGGGCACGGCACCATCTCACTACCTTCATTCCAACCTTAACCCAAATTTCCCATCCCCCACTCTCAATCCGCCCCTCTTATCACGGCGGACCCCCGATTTCGCCGTGCCAACACCTCCGTTGTGCCCCAAGCCACCGCGAGCCGGCCCTACCCTCTGCGGTCTCATCCTTACCCGAACCCTGACCACCGCACGGCCCTAGATCCGCGCGGCGCACCACCATAGCTATCATCCGCTTCACCTTCGACTCACCTCCTAGCCCCTCCGCGACTCCAATCTCCGCGGCCTCCATCTTGGCTTTTCATCTGGTTCCATGCCCAAGTTGCAGTTCAGGTCAAGCATCTTTACATTGTAAATCAGTACTTACTAGTAAAGATATCTCTGTTTCCCCTGCTCAAGAATGATTTCAAAGTGAAGATTTTTCATTTTGTTTACTAGGAACGTGAAATCCAAAAGCTGTTGGAATGAAGAAATGGGAATGGGAGAAGTCATTGAGAAAAATGGCAAATTGTGGATATCAACTGGAATAGTTCGTAGTGACAAGATTTATTCTTCAATTGAGGAGACTCTATAGGTGATATGCCATCTTTTTATATATACCCGCTCTCGTGATATTCAGAAGTAGGGATTAATAAACTATGTAACTAAGCAATACACTTGTTTGCATAAATAAATAAATATATATATATATATATATATATATATATATATATATATATATATATATATATATATATATATATATATATATATATATATATTGAAATTTTGTAATCTGTTTTGAAAACTCGTGCTTATGTAAAGGCTGAAATGGCAGGTATCTTATGGAACTTGGAGCTTTAGACCTATTAGAAAATAGTGGTAGAAGCATATCTCTGACAGAAATGTATGAAAAGGTTGCTGGCGGGAAGAGTGGATGTTGTTGGGAGTTGTTTGAGGTTTACAGGCACCTCAAGTCTCTCGGTTACATAATTGTGCGGCATGGTGTTCTTTGGAGTTTGAAGAGTATTAAAAGTTCCCATAGACCTGCTGCTCTTGAAATCACAGAAGAAAGCAATGGACTAGCAGATATGGGTTCCAAATCTGAGCTTGGTATCGATAAGTTATTTTCTGATTTGCAGATTAATGAGTTGATGCCAGATTTTGATGTTTATCTTCCAAATAGCCGGTTTAGAAAGTCTTCCCCTGGTGATCCAAGTTTTCTACTATACTTATCTAGGTAATAACTACGTCTCTCATTGCATCAGTATGATTACTTTAGATTCTGAAATTTCATTGGTAAGTGATCTTTATATCAGAGGAATTCACACTGGCAGACACGCTGCTTCATTGCGTGGCAGTGTGTGTTCGGGTTGGGGGGTTGTAAGGTGTGACCATGTTATTTCTCACAGTAAACACTAAAAATTGATAAAGGCATTGTGGCTGTCTGTTCTCTTATAATGAAAATAGGAAAATGCAATTTCATACGTACATATATCTGTTTTCTGCTAGATATACTTCAATACATCCATGAGAAGTTGATAGCCATTTGAGACTTGGATGAATAGTTCTTATTTTTGTGGGAACAAGTGTGAGCAAGTAGCCGTTGTGGGTATTTATCAATTATGGTTATTTATTTTTAAAAATTAACTTAAAATATTGACATTGATTATTTACCTCTTACTGATTCTCAAATTTAGAAGAAATAATATTCTACTTTATTGTATCAATTATGAGGTCATTAGACCTATCAATACATGAGCCTGCCGGTTATTTTAAGAAATATGGACTGCCAATTCTAAGGAGACAAATCCCTATGATTATGGGATTGTTTCTAAACACATAAACCTAGTATTAATTAGTAAAATTAGACTGTAATAAAGAATAGAATAGCGCAAGGAAAAAATACAAAACTGAATGACTAATATGGTTTTGACACAAATTAATAGCTATGCAAAATTGTCCTTAGTTCTAGTTTCTTTTCCGCCCTCTTTTTTATTATCTGTTATTGGAAATCTATTACTCATTTATAACATGTATCTTCTGTTAGGGGTCATCCACCATCTAAAGTAGAGATTGAATCTCTTGAGAAACAATGTGGTGGCATTCCTTTGAAAATCTGCCAGGTCACAGAGGGAAGGGTCAGTTTCTTTTCCTATGACAAGGTGGAACTTCCTGTTCTACCCTGAAAGTCTGGTACCAATCCTACGTTTCCACTCTGAGCTGGGGGCAAAGAAAACTTAAGAGAGAATGGGTTATTGTAAACTTGTAGCTTATAGGATTCGGTGATGTGCGAGAAAGATGCAGAATGGGCTCAGTGACACACAACCAGTACTTGGCTCTAGCCAAACTGATCATGATATTGATGTGGGAGCATGTTATTGTTGACCATAGCAAGAATACGAAGGCATTGGCTTAGTAATTCATGCCCCAGTTTACACATAGATTAGTATTGTGTAGGATAGATGTATTATCACTAGAGGATTTGTGACTAGAGTATCAAATAGGAAATTGTTTGTCATTCAATTTATTATTATAATTTTCATTTTAACTAACATAAAATCTTGTCTGCTTTCTGTAGTGGTTTTAGAAGATTTGAAACCCATAGTCACTGATGTTGTGCTTTGGTTTGTCATGTAATTGGTAAACTATAGATGAATTTGATATGTACGATGTAATTCCGAAGTTCGAATAACTTTTTCTGATTTTTTTTTTATATGATATTTTTGAATTAAAAGGTTTTATGTGGTATCAATACAATTTTAAAAATTAAGTTCTTGTATGTCGACGATAACTAATTTGTGGATGCTTGTAATCATCTTCAAAAAGGTTACATTATTGGAAGTTGTAGGAACATATTTCTAAAACCTCATTATAGAGAATGCATTAAACAATTGACTTAGTGTAGGATACGAGCACATAATTGTGAGTATCGATGTCATATAAAGATTTTGGATCCAAGGTTATTAACTCACGATTCTGGGTTATCCACCAGTTTACGTATCTCCACAAGGATATAAAGTGGCACAGTAAAACAAAAACAAAAAGTATACCTCAAAGAAGGTTAAGTCAATGCGTAGAGTGAATATATTTAAGTGATAATGAGTATATGATCTAATTAGCCAGTTAATAATATAAACTCAATCTGTATTGTAGTAAATATATTTTTTTATATCATAAAAATACTGAGGCACGTTTTCTTTTATTTTGAAAAGTATAATCTAAAATGTAATTTTTACATTTTAGATTTTATATTTCAATATAATTTCAAAGTATTGGTGATAATATTTATATACTCTATTAAATGTAACATTCAATCCATTGTCATAATAAAAATATTTGAACATCCATCTTATTCCGTAAAAAATATAAACTATTCATATATGAATTATTCATCCGTTATTGAAATAAATTTTTAATGGGTCAAAATAACTTAATAAATCATAACCCGGTCAATTTGAGGCTCAACATTTTTTATTTATTCTTAAAAGGTAGTTTTTTTTTCTGTTGAAAAAAAAAAAAAAGAAGCCAGAATAGGCAAATAGAAAATAATAAGAAAAGACCTAACATAACTTATTTGAATTTTATAACTTATATTAGTATTTATGATTTTTGTTTTCATTATTTTTAAAGTTTTATAACTTTTATTAATATTTATGATTTGACCCCTCAAACTTAATGATTATTAAATATAGATAATTATATATTTATAAATTTGACCTCCACCCTTATTATTTTATATTTATATATTATTTATTAATTATATATTATTTGACTCTCTCAAGATAAATGGTACTACTCAAACTAATATATTAATTATGTTAGATCAATTTTTTGGGATTTAAATCATCAATTGACTTCACACTTATGTTATTTTAGGACTCTTGAATACTCAATTGAAATATCAATTGTAATTAGTGTATTGACAATATGAATTAATTGTTATATTTTTTTTCTAATAAGTATATTTGATAATTGATTGACTAAAATTTGTAAAAGAATTATCTTTCCAATATCTATCTATTTCACATTTTTTTCAAGGATCAATATGAGATAATGATAATTTATTTTACTAATATCTTTTTTCAGTTATTTATTCTTCGCTTAATATTGGAAAAACTTATTCATCAAATTCACAATTAAAAATCGAATCATATATGAACCTTTAGTCAATAATTCTAAATACTTTATTATTAATAAAATTTATATCCAATATATATTTTCAATTTTATCTGAGAACAATGGAAATTCACTTTAGGGTGTAATTAGAATATGTATAACACACTTAACAAATCCTTAAATGAAAAAAAATTGGTTGTTAATCCAAAATAAATTGTAAAAGAGGGGTGTTATGAGATAACTTTTTGCTTAATACAAATTTGTACTACAATATGTATAATTGCATAGCTTTAATTAGTGATTAGATATTTCAATGTCATGACTAATGATTTCACACTTAACTTTAAACATTTTATATAATTTTACAAGTTTATTTTATTTTTGAACGTAAGCTCAAAAATATTGAATGTCAATTTGAACTAATACCCAATATTATTATAAAATGTAATTTCATCATCATTATCTAGATTTTTTCTAATTTAAAAATAAACTCTATTCAAATTAATTGAGTTAACAACTTCATAAATATGTGATTATGAATGCATAAAATAAATATTGATTATCAAATTGATGCACCAATTAAAATCATAAATATATAAATGGTCCACAAATATCCCTCTATATCAATTTAAAAATATAATGAATTTATTTATTAATTTTAACATCTGATCATAATATTATCATCAATTTTCTTTATAAATATGTATTACCAAAGAATCTTTAGATTTTAAATGTAGTGTTTAAATAAATGTGTAGTTAATTTTTCATCATAATAAACTTATATTCATTTTAATTCATAAATTTATAGCTTACAATAACATATATTTTGTACCAGTACATGTGTAATACAAATAAAAAAAAATCAAGTAACTTAAATATAATTTTTCATTATATTATTTCAATATGTATTAATGGATTTAAAAACATATTTTCATTATATATAAAAGAAATATATACAAGTGAGACATAGTCTTTTCAACAACTTAAAAAAAATTAAATTGAATTCATACAAATTATAAAAATATATTTTTTATATTAATTTGGTGCCTAATTTAAATAAATCATAATATTTTTGATTAATTATGTTGAATATAGAGAAAATAGGGTTTGGAATTAATTTCCCTTGTGTATAAATCACACATAGGGTGATCTATTTATAGTAGAGAGATACAACTAAAAGAGTAACTGAAAGTAACGAGAATAAACAGAAGATATTGTTTGATATTGTGGTTACCAATATCTAACAATATCTTAACAATATTAAATAATATCTAAACAATATTTAACACTCCCCTCAAGTCTGGAGCATACAAATCGTATGTGCCAAGCTTGTTACAAATATAATCAATTCTAGGACCCAGTAAAGATTTAGTAAAAATATCTCGCTAACTGATCACTTGAGTTAACAAACCCAGTCTTGATATCTCCAGACATAATCTTTTCTCGAATAAAATGACAGATCAATCTCAATGTGTTTGGTCCTCTCATGAAAGACAGGATTATAACTAATATGAAGAAGCGACTGATTGTCACACACAAGTGTCATTTGAGTGACATCTCCAAATTGTAACTCTCTAAGCAATTGCTTGAGCCAAACAAGTTCACAGGAAGCCGAGGCCATAGCTCTATATTCCGCTTCGCACTAGATCTTGCCACAACACTTTGTTTCTTACTTTTCCATGAGATCAAGTTACCACCAATGGTGACACAATATCCGAGATGTAGATCTTCTATCCGAAGGAGATCCCGCCCAATCGGCATTCGAGTAGCAAACAACTCTTGTATGGTTATTAGAACCATATAACAATCCTTTTCCAGGAGATCCTTTAATATACTTCAAGATACGAATGACTGCATTCCAATGATCTTCACATGGTCAATTAAGAAATTGACTTACCACACTGATTGCAAAGAAAATGTTAGGACGAGTAATCGTAAGATAATTCAATTTTCCAACCAATCTTCTATACTTGCTCAGGATCAGATATAGGCTCCCCCGATTTGGTAGAAGTTTAGTATTGGGATTCATGGGTGTATCAACAGACTTTGAACTCATCAACCCAGTTTCCTCCAAAATATCTATGGCATACTTCCTCTGAGATATAACAATACCATCATTGGACTGTGCCACCTCAATACCCAAAAAATATCTAAGTTTGTCAAGATCTTTGGTCTGAAAATGGTGACAGAGATGTTGTTTCAACTGAGAGATGTCATGGTTGTCACTACCTGTAAGAACAATGTCATCAACATATACTATCAAGTAAACACATCCAGCACTCGAGTGTCGATAAAAGACAGAATGATCTGATTCACACCGAGTCATACCAAATTGTTGAACAACCTTGCTAAACTTTCCAAACCAAGCCCTAGGAGACTGTTTTAGGCCATATAGGGATTTGCGAAGACGACATACCATCCCAGAAGACTCCCACGAGCAACAAACCCAGGAGGTTGCTCCATATATATATCTTCTTGCAAATCACCATTGAGGAAAGCATTTTTAACATCCGAGTTGATAAAGAGGTCATTGTTGAAGAAGCGACCATGGCGATAAATAAACGAACGAAGCCATCTTTGCCACAGGGGAAAAGGTATCTCCATAATCCAACCCAAAAATTTGAGTATAACCTTTGGCCACAAGACGAGCTTTAAGGCGATCAATAGTACCATCAGGTCCAACTTTGATAGCAAACACCCACCTGCAACCAACAACAAATTTTCCAAACGGTAACGGGACCAATTCCCAAGTTCCACTATTATGAAGAGCACTTAGTTCATCTAACATGGCCTGTCGCCAACCAGGATGGGCTAAAGCTTCACTAGACGATTTTGGAATGGTCACAAAAGAAATAGAGGAAAGACATGTATAAAAAGGTAATGACGATCGATGATAACTCAAAGCAATATAATGGGGAGAGGGATTACGTGTAGAACGAATACCTTTTCGAGAGGGCAATGGGAAGGTCGGACTCATGTGTCGGATTCGGAGGAGACAGAGTAGTTGGCACTTGAGTAGAGTCACATGGTGGTGGTTGTGATTGATTTCGAGAACTATAAATCTGAAGAGGCAGTGGAGAAGAAGCTGACTGCGGAGCAGGAACTAATGGTGAAGAAGACACAGTTAGAGGGTCACAAACAACAGGAACATTAAATGTATTAGGAGTGTTGACAAGATTGGATGGAGACAAAGGTGAAGTTTGACTTTTAAAATAAAGAGACAACTCATCAAAGGTGACATTTTTTGACACAAAATAACGGTTAAGAGAAGGAGAAAAACATTTGTATCCTTTTTGTGATCTTGTAAACCCTAAGAAAACACATTTATGTGATCTAGGAAAAAGTTTGTCCAGAACTGAAATTATGAACAAAACATGTAGACCCGAAAACTTTTAGAGGTAAATGATGAAGTGGTTCATGAGGGAATAAAATGGAATGAGGTATTTTATTATCTAAAACCGAAGAAGGCATGCGATTAATGAGATAACATGCAGTAAGAAGAACATCACCCCAAAAATGTTGAGGAACATCTCCATGAATTAAAAGTGTGTGAGTTGTTTCAATAAGATGTCTATTTTTACGTTCAGACTACACCATTTTGTTGAGGTGTATAAGCACAAGAAGTTTGATGCAAAATACCGTGAGAAGCCATGAATTGTTTAAAAGAATGAGAAAGATATTCACGGCCATTATCACTACGCAAAACTCTAATAGAAACACCGAACTGAGTTTGAATTTCATTAAAAAAAGTTTGAAAGATATGAAATAATTCAGAACGATTTTTCATCAAAAATAACCAAGTGCATCTGGAATAATCATCAATGAAAGTAACAAAGTATTGAAAACCTAAAGTAGACTTAACGCGGCTAGGTCCCCAAATGTCAGAGTGAACCACGGCAAAAGGGGACGAAGCACCACATGTGAAACTACGAGGAAAGGAAGTACGACTATGCTTGCCTAATTGACATGACTCACACGCCAAACTAGATAAGTTGGACAAGGCGGGGACAAGTTTACGTAACTTGGCAAGACTTGGATGACCTAACCGAGCATGAAGAAGAGAGGAGACTCCATAACCGTACTAACATGTGTAGAGGGACGGAGATAATAAAGACCATGAGACTCACATCCTGTGCCAATCACCTGTTTCGAACTCCGGTCCTGTAAACATACAGAATTGTTGGTAAAAGTAACAACACAATCAAGAGAATGAGTTAGACGACTGATGGACAACAGGTTAAAAGGAGACCCAGGAACATAAAGAACATTATCAATGGTTAAAGAAGGAAAAAGTTTAACCGTTTCAACACCATGAGATGATACTCTAGAGTCATCAGCCAGTGTAACAGAAGGTAAATGATTAGGAGAGGATAAAGAGGAGAACAAAGATTTGTTACCAGTAATATGATCAGTGGCTCCTGAATCAAAAACCCAAGGACCAGGAGAAAATGATTGGGTCGGACCAAGCAAAATATGTATTTGTATGTGTGACGGATATAGTGGAACTAGAAGACTGTTGATCCTTATACCATTCGAGAAATTTGTTGAACATAGCAGACATGTCGGATGCAACAGAAGAAGGAAGATCCCCTGCAGATAAAGGTGGGGAAAGATTTGTCTGAACAACTACAGCAGACTGAGGAGGACGACCATGTAATGTATAACACTTATTAATCTTGTGACCTAGCTTGCCACAATGTTCACACTTAGGACGCCATTTTTCCTGTTTGCGAGGGCGAGCCCGGTCATCACGATGGGATGTCAACACAAAAGAATCGTTAACAAAATTGGAAATAGTGGAAGAAGTCATGAAGAGCGGGAGAACAAACCCTAAAACAATCCAAAGTAATCCAATTAACCCACGAAGCATAAATCCAAAATGAGAATACTAAAAATAAGTTCACCAAGACTAAACGGTGCAGGAGACAATGGGACGACCAACTCCGATAGTGGTGATCTCAATGGCACGGTGGTCACCTGACCGAGACAAGCAAAATCATATGTCACCGGTAAAAAAAAATGAAACTCTGGCAAATTCTCCGACAGCGGCGGACCTGGTGACTGCTCCAGCGGCAGCGGTGACAGTAACGTGAACTAGTACACTAGGTAAGTTCCCAGGAAAGAGAGGTGGGTCACTAATGGACACACTTAAATACCAAGTCTTTCCTTGCCAGAACTTTCCTAAACATGCACTTTCACACTACCAAATAAAATTCAATGACAAAGATAATTCTTTTCTGATGTGGAGGATCAGTTTACCAGCAGCGGTGGGGCGACTCTAGCAGCGGTGGGGCGGCTCCAACAGTGAACAAAAGGCGGAAAAAAAAAATTCAAGATAACCTTAAGCTCTAGATACCATGTTGAATATAGAGAAAATAGGGTTTGGAATTAATTTCCCTTGTGTATAAATCACACATAGGGCGGTCTATTTATAGTAGAGAGATACAACTAAAAGAGTAGCGAAAGTAACAGAATAAACAGAAGATATTGTTTGATATTGTGGTTACCAATATCTAACAATATCTTAACAATATCAAATAATATCTAAACAATATCTAACAAATTACAAACTTAATATATGCCATGTAATAATATATTTAAAATTTAATAATTTTTTTAAGAATTATATATTAATTATTATAATATTAGTAAGATATATTTTTTATGATCGAAGTTTTAATCATTGTAATAAAATACATTAGTACAATACATAATAAATCTTATTTTTATGATATATTTAAAATATATCATCTTTTTATAATATTTTTATTCTAATAAGATGTTTGAGTACAATACATAATCAATCTTAATATACAAACACATATTTATTGGATATTAAATAATATGAATTAAAATATTAATAATAATAATTTAAAATATAAAATATATTCCAATAATAATAAATAATTTATAAAATAAATATTTTTTATCATCCAATTAAATATTAAAAGATACCTTAAGAAGGATTATTATTTTTATAAATCATCATAAATATAACTCACGTAAATAATAAAAAATTGAGATAAAAATAAAATAATATATTATAAAAACTATTTTATTTAGAAAAGTTGCACTGACAAATACTAAAACTAAGAGGCAATCAAATAAATATAATTTAAATACATTAATAATATAATTAATGTAAAATAGACAAAAAAATCAATTGAAAATTAATTAATATATTTAATCATCATATTTAAATTTGATTATTTATTATATCATGAATAAATTTAAAATATATTGAATTTAAATAATTTTAAATAAATAATTGAACAATATATAAGATTATTTTAAGCATAACTATATGAAATATTATTCTTTAATGAAAATAAATATTCTTTTAATATTCTTATTGAGGTGATCAAAGTTTTCATTTGAGCAAAATATTAATACATCATAAATTTTAATACAATTAATAATTATATGAATATAATAAAAATTATGGTACACATGAACAAAATTCATATAATTATAATTATAATTACCGTTTTAATAACTATTTTTTTCCTTTTAATAAATAAAAGACCCAATAATCTTTATCATCATGATAATAATATATATTCATTTTGTTTTTTTTTTACATTATTTTATAACGAATGATGATGTATTCTAAAAAAATTACTTAATCACTATGTCTATACGATAATAATTAACACAAATATACAATGATAATAATGACAATAATTATTAATTTATTATTTTATTTATCAAATTTTATTATATAAAACTAAAATATTAAATTATAATAACTATATAATATGTGAAAAAAATTATAAAATAGAAATATAATTATTTAATTCAATATTTTATAATCTTCCAATCGATAATATGTTGTGAAATAAAAAATTACAAATATTAAAATCTTATAAATAATAAAGATTAATATAAAATTTAATAAAATAATAAATACTGATTAACAATAAAAATAATTGTTTTATGATAATAAAGATACTATGAAATAAAAATTTTAAAAATTAACTAAAGAAACCAAAACAAAATAATTAAATAAGATGTGTATATTAGTATTTCCCTTCAATTTTTTGTTTTGTTAGGGACAACATTGTCATTACCGAGAGTGTAGGGGACACTTATAGTCTATGGATTTGCTGGTAAAGTTTGCAATTGGACTGAGTGACTCAATAATAGTGATCATTTGGTAATGGTGGCTGCATTTTTCAGCTTTTCATTTTGCCCCACTTCTCCCTTTTCTTTCATCTCTCAACCATAACATAACTTTAGTTTACCACATTTCCCAGAGATCTGAAATCTCTAATCAGAATTTCACAGGGTAATGCAATGTCTCACTCACCAAATTCTCTACTGTCTTTGGACTCTGTTTATTTCTAATGCTTCCACTTCTTCTCCTATTGCTGTTTTCCAATGCCAGGTTCATTCAACCGGTAGTGGATCTTCGCTTTTTGGTTTTCGGTGTTCTTGTGTGTGTGTGTTTTTTCATTTTTACGAGTTCCTTAGAAAGCCTAATAATCTTATTGATGATAATCTTATAGCTCAGGGATTTGGTGAATTTTAATATCATGCATTGGAAGATCACTTTAGGGATTTCTCTCTCTCTCTCTCTCTCTCTCTTTTCTTTAATTGGCATTCTCTTACACATTTTTGGTAAATTGCAGTTTACCAGCCACAAATATAATCCTGTGCAAGTGGGAATGAAGAATTGGGTTTGGAGTTAGGACAAGTGGTGTGGTGGCCTATGCAATGAGTGCACACATGTGAAGTGAAGTTCAGTCAAAAACAGCTGTTTCTAGATTGGGGTTTTGTGTTGTGTGTGTCATTGCATTCCTCATCCTTTTCCTCTTTTTTCACGCCTTAATCTCTCTTTCTCTCTCTCTGAAATTTGGAGCAACAATCATCAATCTATGGAGTCTGGACTGGGTAATTGGCCATCCTATGACCCTCACAACTTCAGTCAGCTTCGACCTTCCGATCCTTCAAGTTCTTCTGTAAGTTGTTGTCTAAAAAATTGATAATCCTGGTAATAACTCATTCAATTATGCAAATGTATGCTTTGTCGCATGTTGAGAATCTGATTGTGTGTGATTCTGAGTTTTTGGTGTATTATTATCTAATCTATGTACATTTATCTGGGTAGGAAGTTTAGGGAAGAGAGAGTTGCCTTGTTTTTTATTCTCAACCCACTTCTCCCTCAAGGACAAAAGTCGGTGTTAACCATCAAGATAAGACTTTCTTCTAGTTGGCACACTTGCATATTTGAATCCCATCTTTTAATTTTGAGATTGTTAAATTTTTAAGTTGGCACATGGTACAGAAATTATAGTGTAGTAAAAACATGTATTTGCAATCATTACATTTTTAGTTTATCTCTTTTTATCACAAGGAATAAAGTATCTCTCGACATTCTGATTGTTATTACGAATTGGATAATCATAATTCATGATAGGCGTATGGCTTTGTGCAATTTTTTGTTCACCTGAAGTTGAAGTCTTCACCATTGATGTTTTATGCAGCATTGACTTTGGCAACATATCCATAGTCTCAATAACTTCACCTTTTGTCTTTTTGTTACCCCTCTATATCTCTTTGCTATTCTGCAAAGTATCCATGAATTTGAAAGTTTGAAACTTTTCAAGCATGGGATGATTTTCTTTTTCCTCTAGTTTCTTGTTATTTTCCACACTAAAACATAACGCTGTAAAATTTGATTTTCTTGTTCAATATTGTAGCAACAATAAATTCTTCTTTTAAAATAACTGTTTTACTTTTTTCCCAATTAGCTAAAAAGGCTAGTGTTATGCGTAATTTTTCCTTTATATTATAAAAAGTATCTCTCCAGTTTTCAGGAGCCTGACACAAATTTAGTTGTTTTCCAATACCTTTTGCTAAATGTAGTTGTTCTTGTCCTTTCACGAGATTATTAGGGGTTTCTAATCCACAAAATTACAAGCTAATTAATATTATTCATGAAATTTGTCTGTTAAAAATGAAGGAGATACATACATAATTCTTGTTCCATGTTTACCGATAGGTAAGATGCTGCTCTATTCAATTACATTTGAGAGTGGTGGAGCCATGGTGGCCTTATAATGCCATTGCCACCCCAAATTTTGTATTTTTTTAAAATTATATATATATATATATATATAATATTTAAAATTATATTAATTTAAAAATAAATAAATTGACCCTCTGCCTTCTTATTTCTCCCTCCGCCTCTGCATTTGAGGTGAAGGAAGCTCAAATATGAGTATGACAGATGTGATATTGAAGATAAACATACTGAATGGGATACTGTTATTCCTTTCCTTTTCTATAACCAAGTCATGGACAAAACCAAGCAGTTTTAGGGTCAACCTCTTTGTGTATGAACAAAATTGTTGAAGAACTAATTCTGCAAATGATAACTCTGTAAAAGGAATGTTGGCTACCTCTGGGTGTAGATGTATACAGATCGTCTATATATTATTCTCTCTCACAAATGTAGTCATGCAGCCTGGAATTTGTTAGCTTGGTGTGCATGCCCCTCCTTTTTCTCTACTTTGTGGATCAGCTGCCACGTGCCTATGGCCAGATGTTATTTCATTTGTCCCTTTTCCCCATTAAGAACAACCTTATCCTCAATGTTGAGTTCGGGGTAGGCTAGCTCTAGAGTAGTTTGATCCTCCCAAGTCGTTTGTGATTCATCAAAAGTCCTTCCCACTGAATCAAGTGCTGCTGAACTTGCTTGTTACCCCCACATATCATTTGAGACTGAAGGATGAATGCAGGTTGCATAACCGGATATAGCTCATTTGTTGTGAAAGGCCAAGGAATATATTTTGATTATGATCACCATGAAGAATGGAAGACTGGATGGATCTTGGATATAGGGGGTAATAGTAATTTATAAGCAATCTGGCCTATTTTTTCTAATTTGTCTTTGTCTGAGCCTATTGTCTTATAAAAACATGCAACTTCACCACTATTTTCATGAAAGACTCAGCCACCAATTTGATAGTATAATCAGATTTCAAGGTTTTAAAGTGAGCATACTTCAACTACCTATCTATCACCACCATTATTACTGTAAAGCCATGTGAGGATGGGGAGACCAATTGTAAAATCTATAACCAAATCTTCCCATATTTGGTCGAGAATAGGTAGTGGCTCAAGCAAACCTAAAGGTAGAGTAGTAGTAGTCTTGAGAGCAAGGAGGAGACTCACAATGAAGAGTGAATAACTCGTGAATAGCATGAGTGTGATGCATTCTTCTAAGATGATGAAACCGCGTAGGACTCGGAACTTTGGCTTTTTCACCATGAAGAGTAATAAACTGATTTCCCAAAAAAAAAAAATTCAAAGTGAGATTGCTATAGTCAGAGATATGAGGTCCAGACATGGCTAACTATACAGCACCAAACTCCAAATCTGCACCTGAAATTGGGTGGAGATATACGGGAAGTTTCAACACATAACCTTGTATGGTAACCTCCAAGTTCACTCATCATTCCTTAAGCAATTTAGCAACTAACAAATTTCCATTTCCCTCCAACACCTGGACATTAGGAATAGGCAATTTGAGACAATGAGCAAGTCTTAGTTGAAGGAAGCTATTAGGACTTCCATTGTCCAATGAAGACTTGAACTAGCATATCTTTGACGTACCGGTGAAATCTCTTTGTACCCAATCAATTTTGAGGATCCTTTCAAAGCATTCTAAGACAAGTGGTGTTCCTGCAACAGCTGGATTTCCTAATTTTCCACATTATCTGGAGGATCAAGTAAGAGTTCCACACTATCATCCTCTTCTAGCTGTAACAAAAGTTAAGTTTGTTGGGGCAGTTATGACTTGGTGAAAACTTATCATGACAAGTCAAGCTTAGTCTTTTCCCCTTCTTAATTGCATTTTGGCTGTTGACATCTTCTTGACATTGGAGATCCTCTGGTTTGAATTTGGGGAACTCATGTTGCAGCTAGGCTAAGGCAGTGCTAAGCTAGTGGATTTTAGGGTTTGAGATAAGGGTAGGCTTGTGTTTATGGCTTTTATTTTGGGAATGTAGCTAGGGGAATACTGATTTGGTTTAGGGAGATATTTTTCTTTATAAAATTTTGCTAAGGATATTGATCAGGGGAGTAGGAGCTTGTGCAATCACATCTCAATAGATATTTGGTTTCAATCCACCAATGAAACAGTCCAAGAGAGCCTTGAACTCACACCCTGCACTCAATGCCATAAACTGCGAATAATCATGGACTGATCCAATTTGTGTCAACAACAAATTAGAGAGTGGACATTCACATGGAGAGGGTCCAGATTTAAGTTTGAGAGCTGGAGTAAAATCTATTCATGACTGAATTGGATTAGATTTAGAGGTGTCAATGTGGGTTGTAACCTATGAACCAACCCGGCTCACAACGGGTTCGAGTTGGGTTGGGTTCAATTTTTTTCATTTCTACCGATAATGGATTAAAAATGAACCCAACTCACTTAATCCACGGGTTAAAGGGGTTCGAGCCGGGTTATGGTAGGTTGATTCGCAACCTACCATTCATTTTAAATTTTAAAAATAATTATAATAATTTAGTAATCTTAATTGATGTTTTTTTTTCCTCTTCACCTCTATTTCATATTGTCATTATAAGTCAAACATTCACTTAAACTTATTATCAATTATTCGCCGCACCACTGTGTTCATTGCTGCACTTGGGTCATTTGCCATCCTTCTACCCCACTATTACGTCACCGTCACGTATTCGTTGTATTTGTCGCACCAATGCGTTTCAATTGCGTTATAATATTTGTCGCATTTCAATCCCGTGTTTTAGTCACGTCATAACATTTGTCATGCCAACGTCACAACATTTCAGTCTTGTATTTCAATCACGTCACAACGTTTGCTATGCCACTGCATTCGCCACACCACTCATTCATCACACCACCATGCTACTGTGTTTTAGTTGTACTATAGCGTTTGTCACATTTCAGTTGCATTAAGCGTTTGCGATGTCACCATGTCATTGCGTTTCAGTCGTATTTATTAGAAAAAAAAAACAAAAACAAAAAAATGTGAATTAGTGAGTCAACCCACCTAACCCACCAATCCGTAGTGGGCTGAGCTGAATTGTGAAATTTCTGACTTGCCATAAAGTGAGCCGGGTTGAACTCATCTATTTTTAATTCAGCCCGTGGTGAGCCAACCCGTGTGAGTCAGGTTGACTCACTTTGACACCCCTAATTAGATTAGCTTGAGACATCCTTTAGAACCAAGGAACAATTCCTTATCTAAACCATTAGCAACTATTGTCAATCTCTATTCATCCAGGCTGTGGTAGTAATTGAGAAATTGTTCACCCTTAAAGATTCATTAAAGCACATTTGTATTATCTATCAAAAGGTGGAAAATTGTGTTTGACATTTCACAGTTGATGCTGAACCATGTTGCTAGCATTCTATTGTCTGTTAGTTTTGTGCTTAATCAATTCGTTGATGGTAACTTCAATTGTTTCAATTGGTTCTAAATAATCCGTATTTCTAGCTTCAAGATCCTTTTGACATCAACTGAGAGTTCCTTTATGTGTATATTCTCAACCATGAAGCAATGAATACACCAATTTGTAATGTGTATAAAAGTATAAGAATAAAATTGTTGAAGAACCAATTATGTGATTGATAACTGTAAAGTATTATGGTATGGACCATATAATGGAATGTTGGCTACTTCTGGGTGTAGATGCAGCGTTATGGAAGCAACAAAGAACAGAAAATTTCAGAGACCAGGAATTAAATTTCAGCCACCCTTCTTTTCCCCACTAACCTTTCTATGTATTGTTCTCTCTCTCACACGCTGTCATGCAGCCTGACATTCGATATCTTGGTGCACACACCCCTCCTTTTTCCCTGCTCTTGTGGATGAGCTGCCAAGAACCTATGTTATGTCATTTGTCCCTTTTGCCCTCCTATAATTTTCATTCATTACAGAATACTTGGATTGAAGTTTGCAAACTTGAGTTTGAATGAACTTTATGTTACAAACTGTATGAACTTGATGTGACAAACCAAGTTTCTGAAACGATTTTCCCCTTTCTTCCATTTCAAACTAAGTTTCATTGCAAAGTTAGGCAAAACTTTGTTTACAATGTACCAACTGAAAATCAAGCAAGAGATTTATGCACCTCGCCACTCTTAATTTTCTAAACTGAACTATGGGTCACCTAATCATATATTTTCATTTGCTATCTGAAGATGAAATTTCTATTTTCATGCAGAAAATGACACCGGCCACTTACCATCCTACTCACAGCAGGACCCTTCCACCACCTGATCAAGGTAGTTAGGAGAACTTTTTCTACTTCTGAAGTAAAGCTTTGCTCTGTATTTATTTGATTGATAATCTATTTGAAAAATGTAGTTTCCTTTAATCATGTTTTTTGGAGGAGGATCCTTACTAGATGCATTAAACCTATTACTTCAATCTTATTTTTCTCTGTTTGCTACACACAAAAAGTTTTGCTTATATAAAAAAGTTAACAAACATGAAAAACATTCGTTGCAAGTTTTTTCTTTTTTTGACAGATGTACATCCCTCATTTTCTGTCACTTCACTGGTGTTTTATAACTGAGGGTTTGCTAACTGGTAAAATTTGTTCTGGCAGTGATAAGTACTGAAGCCAAAAATATCCTCCTGAGACATATCTATCAGCATGCTGAGGAGAAGGTTTGTATCTCTTTAAAGTTAAATCCAATATACAGTTAGGTCAGCACATGCTTGTGCACATACCTACTACCCTCGTACTCATCACCCCACAGGTATCTAATAGATGTCAACGATCTTTTGTCTTTTTCAGTTGAAACCAAAAAGAGCAGCATCTGATAACCTTTTACCGGAGCATGGATGCAAGCAACCTAGGGTTTCCAGCTGACACATGGCATTGACCATCTGTTACATGTGATTGTGAGCTAGCTACTTTCCCATAGATATATACCCTTTTTTTTCAGAGGAGTTTGGTGCTTGTTTGGAATTTTGAACTATTTTGCCAGGCTGTAGACTGGAGAGTTTTGTAAATATAAAGCCTGTTAATGCCCAACAAAATTTACAGTGAATGAAATAATGATGCTTTAGTTGTCTATTTTGTTGTGCCATCTTTATTGTGCTACGCAGCTAACAACTATTGTCCACATTAGTTAGGGAGATATTCGTGCTTTAATTCGGGATTTTCAAAATGCATCTCCGTCTTTTGGACTCGGGTATGCTTGTGCCATAATTTTCACTGTCTAAATTATTAGATAAATAAGGAATTATTCGCATTCCTAACCTTAAAAGCTTCATCATATTCCATTCATCATATATAAAAATGAATGTCTTCTCTATAATACAAATAAATGGTTATGAATAAGGTTTGATGACCTTGAAGCTGATATTAAGAAAAGAGAAGAGAACTGATACACACCTCATTTATTCTGTATCATTTATTTATACTTTAATATTCAGTTTGCAAGCTGGTTAATGTGACATTGAGTGCACTTTTTATATTCAGAAAAACAGGACTAGTCATCTATAAGTAATATTATCTAGAGATACACATAAGCCATAAGCATCAGGTGAGCAATGGAACTACTCAACTTCTGAATAAAGAAACTCAGCTACCTTTCTAATCAAAGTGCTTATCTTACCCTCATCATATATGTTTGGAAAAACGATTTAACTAAATTCTTATTTAATAAGTTTTTATTACGTTAGGACCTGTCAAGTTTGATCAGAGAATTTATTGGAAAAAAAATTAAAATAGTGTTCTTGTAAAAATTGAATATCTTTGGCCCCAGTTCTTTATGGAAAATATTATCCTATCTCTTTGAGTCTATTTAATAAGGATGAAGCAATATGCTCAAAGTAATAAATGAATGAAAATAATAATGATTGAAAAGTATCTTATGATTTCACCTCACACTAGTCTCGCTCAACCGTAATAAAAATAACAATTTGTGACGATTTTAATAAACTTAGAACCCAATTAAAAAATTTGTCAGAGATTAAAGATTCAATTACATTTTTTTAATTTATGAATCTCTACTTTTTAAAATAATCTAGAAGTCTACTAATTCGTTAAACCTAAATTAAATTTTGGAACGTATTACAAATACATTTTTGGACATAAATTTCTATAAATACTTCTCAAAAATGAACTTTTGGGACCTTACAAAATTCTCAAAAGTACCTTTCCAAAAATTAGTTCCTAAGAAGAACATTTTTATTAAAAACACAAAAACGTGGAGGAGTACGAAAACAAAAGAAAGTCTATGAGAATATATGACCAAGTTCTGTCTTCAACAAGCAAGAGGTGTCTATGGAAGAAGGTCTATGAATACTGTGTGCATAAACTGATAAAAATATTGATAACACTTCTTTATAAAATCAAGTCACTCTTATTCCTTAGTTCATGTTGTTAATTAATGTTTTCTCTTTCTTTAAATAAAATACTACCATTACATTTGGATGTTTTTATTGCAATAAATTAATAAAAACTAAAAATTTATATAAATTTTTAAAGTGAAGTAACCAAAATTAACTTTAAAAAAATTACATAAATTTAAAGCATTGAACTCTTTAATTTATATCTATTGATAATGTAGAAAATAAGGTTGGTGTTTAAAGTTTGAAGGTGAAATGGTTTGAAGTCAAAAAGGGTATGCAAAAAGAGACGCCACCACCATCGTCTCTGGTTTTGAAGATTTAATATTATAATTTGATATAAAATTATTTTATTAATTAATATAGTGAAATAAAAACCTTGAAGTCGGAATACTATATAAAAAAAGAAGACTTATTCGTTACTTCTTATAGTTTAATATTTCAGAATCCTTAAATTTCATATTTTTAAGGAAGAAAATAGTGAGATTATGATTTGAGAATTTTTATTTTATTTTATTTTATTGGTGAAATATATGCCTAGTTATATTGTATTTGACTTTAGGTTTTTTTTTTCCTCTTTAGTAAAACATAATTATGTTACATATATAATTGATACAAATTATATAACTAACCTAATTAAGTTTGCAAATTATTAGTAATTAAATAACATATTTTTTGAATCAATAAAACAAAAACGAAAATTATGGTGTTATTGTCACGCATTTTTCGTAAATCAAGACATCGATGGTCGATACCCCCAATTAACGCCAACTTTACCTGGCTTTTGAGCTTTGATTTCAATAATTTATGGATTTTTTCATCTGATATGCAGTATTTTTTTTAATCAAAAATAAATATAAATATTTCTTCTCATAAAAGTTTAAACTTTATGTGATACATTCGTATTATCATGTAAGTATAATATTTACAGTTAATTATGTAAGATTAAGTTAAGTATTTTATTATTTTCAAGATAATATTAGAATTGATTCTAAAGATAATAAGATATTAACCGTTGGTATCCTAAATCATTTGTTGTCAAATTAATAGTAGATCACTCAATATTTATACAAGAGTATAATAAAAAAATCATCTTGGAAAAAATAATCTTTTTATTTAAAAGATTGTGTTAAGAAACTTAACGTAAACTAAAAATATAATAAGATTATATTATATATATAAGAATAATTTTTTACCGAATTTATTTCCATTTTAATTAATTAAAGGTTGTAAAGTTTTCTTATTTATTATATATTATAATCATATACAGGTATGAAATTTTAACACCAGGTACTTTTCCTTTTCCTTTAAAGTACTTGTACTTTTCTTCTTCAAAAAATATTGAATAATTTTTAAGATACATTCAATACTTATGTGTCTCTTTTTCGTTCTATCAAACTACTAATGATGTGATCTTTTATTCATCGCTTTGTTGTAATTAGTTAATTTTATTGGTAATCATCTTTATCAATTCTGCAATTTGATTGAGAAAGGTTTGGTATTCTGTTTAGAATGTGTCAAGAAGAAGAGAAAAAATTTAAATAAAAAAGAAAAGTAATCATAAAAATGATTCCTCGTTCTATTATGAGTTCCTTCCATCCACAGATAACTCAATTATATTATGAGTTTCTTGAATCCATTAATGGCGTAACGAATTGTTTTTAACACAAATGAGTGTTTACCCTTCGTTCATGCGGTTGCTTTCGCAATTTTTTTTTTAATTTTAAAATACTTAAAATTGACTTTAATTACTCTTCAACTAAGTTTCTAAGTTTCCCATCTATTAATATAAAATAATAACGAATTAGAATTATAAATAGAAAATATTGTCACCGAATAGTAATATATAAATTATTATTAATTATCTATTGACTAAAAAATATTTTAACCATAAATAATAAAACTAAAAATTAATTAAATTTGATTTAAATATTAATTGGGTGACTATATTTTTTTTTTTTTTTACTTATAACCCTTTTGTTTTTTCAAATATGTTTGAATTCTCCATGGAAGCAAACCCATGTTTATCTTAAGATGGGAAGAATAATCATGATTAGATTGACAATTATAAAAAATAATTAACATATAAAAAAAAATTAGCATTCATCGTAATTTGACTAACTTTTTGACTAAACAAAGGGATACAAATAAGGTGGTTGGTTTGATGCTCACGCGCTCAAAGGCTTGTTAAATAAGGTTGTTCCGCGCGAGAATTGCGAAACGCAAAAGAATAATACGTTTCGGAAGAAAAGAATCTGGAAAAGAAGTTTCGAATAATACTTAAAAATTATTAATACAATATTAAAACTTCGTTCTTTTTTTTCTTATTCGATGTGTGTCACTTGAGGTATAATATAAAATATTTAGAAAACGTTTAAATATTATTTTGATTTTGTAAAAAAATTGTGTGATTAGTATACAATTTAAAATTCTAACCTAAGCTACAACTTAAAAATGAGTAATCTTGTGAATATTGTCGTCATGTTTTAGTTCATATTATATCATCATATTATAAAACAAGATATCATTTAAGTGGCATCCTCTATTTCTATATGGAATGATACAAAAATGAGATTTTTATTTTCTTTTTCTAGTTTTCTTTGGGTAATATCTATCTTTGAATTTTAGTTTATGAAAATTATTTTTTGGTTCAAAAGAGTTGGAATTCGATTTGGATTGAAACAACATGTGAGTTCCACGAAGATTAAGGAACATATGAGATAATGCTACAAATTTTTTTTACCAAATTTCATATTTTCCCATATAGAGAAGTTTTATAGTTTATTTGGTGGGAGAGATACACGTAGCTTTCCACATTTTAGATTTTTCACTGAGTTTTGGTTAGATTTTTTTATTCATTTATGTTATGGGAATGGTGGAGATGATTGTTACATGTTATAATGTTAACCAAATTAATAATTTTGAGATTAAATAATATATTATATTGAAATGAATGAGAAAATATGAAAAAAGAAAAGAATATAAAACTTTTTTAATTTTATTTGAAGGGCCTAAAATTATAAATATATAAATAAATTAAAAAATAGGAAATAATAACCCTCGTAGCTAAAGAATTTTCACCAAATTAAATCATAGTTTTTACAGTGATGCTTTAACATTTTTCAATAATAAAAAAATATGTGATGTGATTAAAATATATTCGTGTGTGTGTATATATATATATATATATATATATATATATATATATATATATATATATATATATATATATATATATATATATATATTATATTAATTGTAGTTGAGAAGCTGATAGCTAGGGAGGGGCGTGTTCCTGAGTGAGACGCGGGTGACGAAGTTGACTGTTGCCTGCTAGAATTGCTCCGAACACAGCCAGCCACTCACTTCCCTCGCCAAATCAAACTTCTCGTCTCTACTCGTTTTGACAGCCATTTCGATCTTACAAACCTTCCTTTTCACGCCACTTCTTCTTTTCTTCTCTTTCTTTTTATTCCTTCCTTTATCTTCCTAACACTTATTTACACATACCATCAAACCCCAAGCCATCTTCTTCCTCTTCTCTCTCAACAAACAAACAAACAAATACCATTTGCCTGTAACACAGTTTTCCTTTCCACATCTTCTCTCTTGTTCTGTTCTCTTGTGTTGTGCTGCACCCTTTTCTACTCTTTAAGCCTTTCTCTGCCTTTGAACCTCTTCACACTGTTCAAACTCACAAATACTGTAGCTTTGCTTTGCCAACAACATCATGGTCCACTATCACCGCTCCCATCAACCCAGAAAGACTAACGCCGACTCCAACAAAGATGAGGACTCACACACCATCATCACCCTGGATTGCTCAACGTCTTCTTACTACAACAAGAAAACCAGGCCCAAGCTCTTGTCTTTCCTCCTCCTCATCACCTTCCTCTCTTGCTGCTATGTTTTCGCACCCCTTTTCCTTCCCACCTCCTTCACTTTCTCCCTCTTGTGTAAGTGTAAGCCACCATCTAACTTATTCTCTCTCTCTCTCTTTTTTTTTTCTTTGTCTGTGTTGCTCTGTGTTGATCTTCTTTTCTTCTTTTCAGACTCTCCCGCCACTGAAAACGATGTGAACCCAGATGGGGTTGATGTAAATGATTCTACTTGCTCTTCTGTTTCTACTGGTGAGTAATATTGCTGTTCCCTTTCCTTCTAGCGAGTTATTCTTCTTTTTGTTTGCTTGTGTTGTTTGTTTTTTTACGTGGATTACCAAATATAATCATTGAAAATGGTTAGCCCCTTGGATTTTCCTTGGTTTAGTTTATGGATTACAATATTAGTAAATGGAGTTTGTGTGTTTTACTGAAAAAGTTCCTGTGGTTGATTGGTTTTGATCATTGGCTTTTTTTTCAGTAGTAAATTTTAGAAATTTATGCTTATTTTGTTGTTTTCATGTTATTTTCTTCTTGTAATGTTTTGTGCTCTTTTGGGAACGCAGGAACTATATGCTGTGATAGAAGTGGTTTTCGTTCTGATATCTGTGTGATGAAAGGTGATATAAGAACACACTCTGCTTCCTCTTCGATCTTCCTCTACAATCCAAGGAGCACCGATGATGTTTCTGTTGAAGAGGAACTCCAACACGAAAAGATCAAGCCGTATACTCGAAAATGGGAGACAAGCGTGATGGACACTATTGATGAATTAAACCTCGTCTCAAAGAGAGTGAATGATGTTGGTGGTTGTGATGTCCAACATGATGTTCCAGCAGTGTTCTTCTCTAATGGGGGCTACACTGGCAATGTTTATCATGAATTTAATGACGGAATCATACCCTTATACATTACGTCACAGCATTTCAAGAAGAAGGTTGTGTTTGTGATTCTTGAATATCACAATTGGTGGATCATGAAGTATGGGGACATTCTTTCTCGACTATCGGATTTTCCACCAATTGATTTTAAAGGAGACAATAGAACTCATTGCTTCCCAGAATCCATAGTTGGTCTCAGAATCCATGATGAGCTAACTGTGGATTCTGCATTGATGAGGGGTAACAAGAGCATCGTTGATTTTAGAAACGTTTTGGATCAAGCATATTGGCCTAGGATTAGGGGGCTAATTCAGAAGGAGGAAAGGAAAGCACAAGAGCAATCAAGAGAACAAGCCTCTTCTTCTTCTTCTTCTTCTTCATCATCATCATCGGAAACCTCTCAACAACAGTTTATTAAGCAACAAGTGCTAGAAAATCCAATGAAGAAACCGAAGTTGGTCATTCTCTCTAGAAGTGGGTCAAGAGCCATAACTAATGAGAATTTGCTGGTGAAGATGGCAAAGGAAATTGGGTTTATGGTGAAAGTTCTGAAACCAGACAGAACAACAGAATTGGCAAAGATTTATAGGGCCCTTAATGCAAGTGATGTCATGATTGGTGTTCATGGAGCAGCTATGACTCATTTTCTGTTCTTGAGACCTGGCTCTGTGTTTATTCAAGTGGTTCCTCTTGGAACCACATGGGCAGCAGAAACTTATTATGGGGAACCTGCAAGGAAGCTTGGCTTGAAATACATTGGCTATCAAATTCATCCTAGAGAGAGCACTTTGTATGAGAAATATGATAAAAACGATCCTATTCTAAGAGACCCTACAAGCATTAACAAAAAGGGGTGGGAATACACAAAGAAGATCTATCTTGACAGCCAAAATGTCATATTAGACCTCGGAAGATTCAGAAAAAGGTTACATCGAGCTTATGAGTACACACTCTCCAAATCAAAATTGAATCTTCAACACCGACCAATGTGATTGTCAATGGTTTCATTTGGTTTTCCATATTCATTCTTTAATGTAAAAAAAAATAAAATTTTCTTAAAGTCTTGGTCATCTTATGCATATCAAGGCAACCTGCAAAGTTCTTACTGCAATCTGTTGTTTATGTATAAAAAGCATATAGAAATGTATACTAGGTTGTGTAAGTAAAAATTATAACTTTTGATTCCCCATTTTTAAACATTGCTCTCAAACCCAATCATCCATCCAATGGTGGTTTCAAAAGCTCTAGGCCATCTGGGTTCCAAATAAATTTTCATCATATATAATTAAGTGCTATTAAGGGTTTACCGTAAATTATATAATCCATATTGAAAATGTTTTCAAGCATAGAAGGATTTTCTTCTGCAGAAATTTAAGTCTTCTTCATTCATAAGATGCTTCATTTTACAGTATCTGTTGATGAAGGTGTTTTCTTGGGTAGGCCTATTATGCATATTCTTTTTTTGTATTCAGAAGTGTTAGTTGGTGATGACCAAAAATACAGAAGATCTAGAGTGAGTGATTTGTTTTTGCCAAATCATCTCCATTTTCTAAAATTATTCCTTTAGAAAAAGGGCAAATGGGAATCCGAGAAAGCTCATAAACAGTGCAAAAAGTTGCCACCTTTTGATATGGAGTTAAAATCTGACCCTGCCGTGTACGGATGGAGCCTAAAATTGTGACCATAGACATAGTGATTTTGAAAATTCTAATCATCCTACACGTTCATGCAATGCTTCAAGGGTTAAAGAAGTGTGCATCATAGCTCTATGTTGTGCCAGTAACAGGCAACTAGGTTCTTGGAACAGTTGTGTATGGTGGCAACGTTATCCTCGAGTGTTGTGTACTTGCGTTTGTGCATGTGATGATTCTTCTGTTGCAGCCATTATTGGATCGCAGTATGGCAACTCCATTGCAGCATGTGACATGTTAAGCAGATTCAGTGGGGACCACTAACGGTAATAAACTACGAAGGGGAGGCACACAACATGTATTGTTTTTTTTTGCTCCACTAATACGTTACCATGTCATATCCACATATCCTTATCTCTTGTTATAAAAAAAATACACCATTTATTCAAACAAAACAACTATTATGTGGAATTAGATGTTTAACTGTGTCGTTTAGTCAGGTGCTTTGGAACAAATTAGTATTATATATTGAGGCAAAGATGAGGATTTTGATCACAATTGTAAAAAAATAATCATTAGCTCAATAAAGGAATCAATTTCATTACTTTTTTATTGTTTTTCAATATCTATTGGTTCAATTTATAAGATTTTTATATGAATTTAGACAAAACATTGGGGTTTTTTCAAAAGACATATTTATTATTAACTCTAAAATGTTATATTTAAATAGAATCTGGTTTAATTCTTGATTTTCAATCCAAATAAAAATCATATGGTTTAAGAAAAATAGATTTAAAAAATCTAAAAAAAATAATTTTAATAATTTTTCAATTTTTTGAATAAAAATTGGTCACGTATACTCACACTTGTTGCGATTTGGATTTTTCCAACCATCTAAACATAACCTATTCATAAAGGGATGAAGTTAATAACTAATTTCATGCAATAATTATAAAAAAACATTAAGAAGAAAAATTAAAGACTATTTCAAAGATATTTCAATTAAGCAACAAACAACCACTTCCTTTCAATTGTTCTTCCTCTTTCAAAAACCATCTACTTATAATCAAATCAACCTGGATATTGAAACTATTAAGTAAACTCTAACTCACCAACACTTGAGTCTCACTATCTTGATAAAAAAATTAGTCCCTATAAAATGAATAATTTTAACAAGTCAGTGACATGTAATTTTTTTTTAATTGTGGAATTATTGACTCAAAATGTGGGAATAGTTTTAGAAATCCTCTATCATAAGCCCTAGACACTTTTTATATGTTTTATTTTTGAAATTTCTACCATTTGTTAATCATTTGTAATAAATTGAGATTTTTTTTAAATGACGTGATAGGCATCACAATGGAACATGACATCCAAACAATGGAGGTGAAACCACGTTTAAACGAAATTGCAGAAACTATGAGAAAACTATGGAGGGGTATTTGGATTTTTCACCTGAGTTAAGGAGGTAGATGAGAAAACTATGAAAATGCAAAAAATAAACAACTCCTCTGAATTAATTAGCTAACCTATCAACCCATTGATTCTCTTTTAAAAATATGAGAAAGTCTAATAATCATATTAGCACAACTATTTAAGCAATGTTTCCAACTTCCTTTAAGGTACTAAGGTATAACATTAATATTAGAAAAAGTTTGTGTCATTAAAATTGAATCAAATTCCAAGCAAAAATGTTGTCAACCTTTTTTATATGCTTGCTCAATATCAAGTATAACAACCATCCCCACTGCAAAGTGCCCATTTTTGCAATGAAAGCACCTAAAAATTCACCTATTCCACCTGAATGTTAATTATCGATTCAAGAACACTGCATGGAGGAGTCTATTTTGTAACAAATTGAACTTGTTAGATTTATTTTTCATATTAAAATATCTCTGTTGTCCCTTATATTTAGTTTTCTCTTCTCTCAACTTCGTGCATTGTTTATATTTTGTTATGAAAGCTTAAGTTCAAAATATTTACTATTCACAACAATTTTGTGAACGATTTGAGGTTGCTTTGAATCTTGTAGAATTTATTTTCTAATGAATAAAATTTGTTGAATCTTAATAACTAATTAGGTATTGAAGAAGTTATTTGAGTAAACTTAAATAAGAATCTTAATAAAACACTTACATATCTCTTTCCCTGTCTTTTCTATGACATCCTTGGCCATGTAGTAACAACCATTGGAAAAATCATGTTGTCAAAGGTCCATTTTTGAATGTTTTATCTTCACGAGGGAAAATGACTCAACTTTATCCTATCATGTGGGCAGCTGGAATTGGGCTCCAAACTACGTACAAAAGTTCCCCACCACACAATGGTGTTTCAAAACTATTACCACTTACGTATAGAGTAAAGTATAGGCCACCACCACCTGTTGATAGATCAAAGGTGAAGCCTGAAGCATGGAGCTTCAAAAATTTTAATTAGATATTTGTAGTGTCTTGATTTTTTAATTACAAAATGCCCCTTTTGGAAAAGACAAATACTGTGGCCAATTTTTACACTGTTAACTTAATCCAAAAACCAAAACTGTCCCACCAAGTGGAGCTTGTCCTAAACTAAGTCAGCACAAGTCGAAGCACCACTGGCACTTATCTACAGCCACCGTTTTGAAGTCTTGGTGTCTGATTGAGGAGGAGTTCTAGCACTTGTCTCCTTGTCATCTTCAGACATCACAAAACTATTGTCTTAGTATATTGAATTAACAGCACCATGGATATATATCTGGCAGTTCTACAGGTTTAACTTACATGCAACTACTGGCTTTCCTCCAAGTGAAGATCTACGTGAGTTGTTTGGCAGTGGTGCTTGAATTCCTGTTAGAGATTGCCTCCTCTTTGTCTTCTCAACAACTGAAATTGGTGATTTTGGATGATTTGTGTGGCCAGTGCCCTTGATGGGTGATTTTACATGATTTCTATAGCCAGTGCCCCTGATGGGTGACTTGACCCCAACCATAGCTTGTTGGCTCCTGCATATTGTCACAGTTGACGAAGATTGAGTATAACTGTGCATCACCATCAAAACGAAGCTTACAACCCTATGATTAAGGTCAGTTACTTTCAAACGCATCTTCATAAACACTTTCAAAAAATAAAATGAGAAAAAACAGGAAATATGCTTCTTCCATAAGTTAAAACTTAAAATCAACTAAACACTTGACTTCTTATAGAAAACTTCTCATCATTCTATCCTAAAACTGAGGTATATAAGTTGATTTTAGTTTATAGTTCTATGTTCAATTCATCTTAGTTTTTTCCCCAGTAAGTAGTTAAAGAGCAGTTGATTCAAACAGGGCTACAAGTTAACAGTTAGAACACACCTCTTATCCGAGCCATTGATCAGTTTCCCAATTGTTCTCAAGGATCTTCTTATCTGGGACCCTTTGCCATTTGTGCTACCCATCACCTTAGCGCCATGAGCATCATTTCCATCCTGAACTGGTGGTTCAGGTGTTTGAGGAAGTTTAATAGGATGAACTTGCATCCCATCATTTACTTTTATCAATCTCTTTTGATAGGAAATGCTTGTAGGACTTCGAGGGGTTTTGGCGTGCAACTCTGACCTAGAATTGCCACTGCTGAACTGGCCATTTAGTTTTGACAAAGCCTCTGCATCTTGCATTGGGCGATATTTTTGCATAGATACTGGCTCATACTGTAGACCATCTTTCTTGATAGTTTTTGGACCTTCCAAACTTAATCTTCTGGAACGAGGTAACAAAGGTGGTGATTTGGCCCCACTTTTATCCTCACGATTCACAGATTTATTATCAGTCTTTACAGCACTGCAGTTCTCAATGCTAAGTCTTCGAGAGCGTACTGGAGTTTTCTCGGATGGGGTGTATGGCTCTTTAATTCTTTGGAACATTACTCTTTGAGCTTCCTTGTTTGCCAATGCAATCTTAAGGTTCTCAACCTAATATTCATATAAAATAGAGGAAAACTCAATCACTTTAACTTCATTTGAGTTTAGAACACACTGACTCTCAACACTTAAATCTTGAGAGCATGAATGGAAGTAACAAAATGTCTTGCCCTAAGTAGACATTCTAACCTGTTCTTTAAGTTGCATAACCTCGCTGCTTTCTTTGTTCAAACGAGCGGCCCCCAGTTCCACAGTGGAAACCCTCTGAGCAAACTTTAAAGTACTCACTGTTTCACCAAACGAATCTGCTTCCGGACTTACATGAGCAAACATCAAAGTTTTTGCATGTCCACCTAACGCAAAAATTCGCAAGAGAAAGCACATTACAAAAAACATTTAGTCATGTCATGTGGTAAAAAAAATAAAGTTCCCTAAAGCTTTTATTTGACATTATCATAGCCTACAATTGGAATTCTACAAGAGAGAAAGAGGTAGAATTGGAAGAGAGAATGAAAATGATAGAATATTAGCATGCACCTAAGGAGTCTTGCAAAAGAAGAGTGAGTTTGCTGTTCCTGTAAGGGATGTGAGAATTCTTTTGAGCCAGGGCTGTGATCACATCTCCCAAACAGGAAAGAGATTTGTTAATAAATTGTGCTTCCTTTAGTCTTTCCCCTGTAACTTCAGATTTGTCTACTCGTTCACTTCCAGCAAGGTCTACCAAGTGCAAGCAACTGCGAATAGAGCTCCCAGATGTATCTTTGCCATGAACATGCACAGTAAGTACACTGAGACATGTTGATCAGCCTTATCAGTGCCTAAAATAAACACGGATATTGTTATAGAAGAAAAACATATATTCACCTGTGGGAACGACTACTCCTGTTGTTCATTGCAGTCAAACTGACAGCACGATTAACCTCACCAAGTCTCATAAGGGTCATAACATCAGTTGTAGACTTCACTGGGCGCAATCTGGCATCTGGAAGGCTCAATCCATCATCATTGCAGCTACGGATTTCTAATTTGAGGTTTAGTTAAGGAGACAAATTACTTGAAAATATTAAGATCAGCAGATAAATAGAGCCTTCTCTTGCATATTTCTTCAAAATTTATGGAATAATGAATATAAAAAGGATATTTGTTGTCGGCTTTGTCCTCTGCAAGTAGATCTCTAACTTGTTCATTGTAAATCTCAACCATTTGAACATAAATTTCATAGTTTATGATGTCATTCCTTTCATTAGACATTTGAAACAGATCATTAAGAGCCAGATAATTAATTCCCAGATCCTTAGATGTTCCACCTGATGGACCACTCTGCAGCAAGAGAGAAATATTAGATTGAACATCCTGGCTTTTAGACTGCAAATATAATAAACAGTTATTGCTGATTCTTGCATTGGCCAATGACCAGGATAGTAGTGCAATATTAGTATATTTCCTATAAGAAAAACAATTTTCATCTAGATATTTCTTCTTTTAGAATCAATTTAAACAACACATCCATAATGCAACCAAAGCAGGGTGATATTCAGTATCTTACCATGGTGTGAGTCTTCCCAGATCCAGTTTGACCATAAGCAAAAATACAAACATTGTATCCATCCATCACAGATCTAATCAATGGTTGAGTATCCTTATAAACCTCATCTGGGTACAAAACAGTAAATTTCAACAAAGAGATGAAAAGAAAGAGATACAGGTACACACAGGTTCAAAATCAGTACTATTGGTTTGTGGAATTCTACCTTGGCCAGCTGTTGGACCAAACACCCTATTAAACTGGAAAAGTTTCCTTCCATCTTTCAGTGTTTTTGATGGATCTAAAATGAACAGAGAACCATCTTCCCCAAAGAAATCAACAATATTCCTTGATTCAGCCCGGAATGATGGTCTGATTCTGCAGTAAACACGAATATTACCTGCGTTCAAAATTAACTTATGGTCAAGAATACACAAAAAGAAAGTGACCTTATATTTAAACATAATCAAAACTAGAAGTATTTCAACCTTTCAAATCTTGTACCATATTGTATAGCTTCCTATTCTCTTCTACTACTCTGTGATATTCAACAGCTTTAGATGACATCTCCTGTATTTGACTTCCTGAATTCAGGAAGCAACATAACACCAGACTATTAAGAGAGTTTTCAGTGGCAAATGTCATTTTGTATAGACAGGTACAGAATAGAAATTCACCTCATAAAACACTGATATTTCTTTAACCTGATCATCATATTATAAATTTTTATTTTCTAGAGCCATCCCAGTAACAGAGAGATGAAGTTTAAAATCATTGGGATATGCATTGGTGGATGCTTGTCTCATTAACTTAAGCAACATGGCCTCCCCCTTTAATAGAGAGGAGATATGGCCCTTTAACGTAAGTAAAGAAAATAACTAAATCTTATTTTGCCAAAATGATGTTAAAAATAACTGGCGAAATTAATGGTTATTCATACCAATATCATTAAAAAATCCTTGAAACTGTGACTTCATCTCTTCAAACTCTTTCTTAATTTTCAACTTCAAAGCCTTGAGATCCTGAAAAAAAAAATTTACACGCCTCAACAAGTGCAGTATTGCAATCTGTTATATATCCTACCAAAGAATATATTCTTTTGTGTAACAGAATTATCTCAATACTACCAAAGTATTGTCTATAGCATATCTATTGCGCTGCATGTGATGTTTTATCTTCTTGTTTATTCTAGGAAGTAAATTAAGATTGAACTTTAGGTTCTACTTTGGAACAGAATATCAGAAGTAACCAGATTTATATGACCTGGCATAAAAAGGACAATTCTTCTCTTCATATTACCTTGAGGGAGGGAACAAGTTTATTCAATCAAGTATATCTATTGTACTGCATGTGATGTTTATCCTCCCTCTTGTTTATTCCAGAAAGTAAAGAAAAATAAATTAAATTGAACATAACCAACAGAGATGCAGTAGAATGCAATTGAAGCTTCGGTGAGACAAAACTGACCATACAAGGGTAGTGAGACACATATTACTTCTTGCGATAACATTCTCAGTTGTTTTAGCTGTTTGTTAAACTTTAATTTAGCCCTCCTACACTGAGCATAGTTCTAATTTCTAATTCAAATAACTTCATTGCATTGGTCAAAGTGAAAACTAATCACTCAAATACATACCAGAAGTTCTTTTTTCTGCATGTTTAAAAGATGCTCCTGGTTGCACTTGCACTTTCCGCGGCATGCTTGGCAGCGCTATATGAAATGCAAATTGGGTAAATGAGAATTAAAATTCGAGATGAATTATATCAACTTCATATCAATATTAATGATCTAAATGTGAAATTCATTTCTACTGAGTTTCTCTATGTTTTAACCATCATTAGTAACTATTCTAGTATGAAATATAGTGCAGAAAAAGAAAAGGTACCTTGGAATTGTCAGGAGCAGATAAAGCATCTGATTGTGTAGTTGCGGAATGAAGTGATAATGCCTCTACTTTTACAAAATTCTTTAGAAGCAATAGCAATTATGTTAGGTGTCAAGAGTCATAGCCAAAGCTGAGGCAAAGAAAATTATTGATAATAAACAATGAAACCATGTCCTTTTCAGAATCTTGCAAAGTTTCATAATAATCCAATGCTGGGATAGAAAGATAAATAGCATTATTCAGTTGTCCTTTCACATGACTTTAGGTTGGCTATAATAATGGCAGCTACAGATGGTAAGTTCTATGAGTCGGGATAAATTCATTCTGACCACAATATTGGCTCTTTGGCCAACGAAACTAAGTATGATTGTTTGCAACTATATTTATCTTAATCCCACATAATTTGCAGCAAGAATTATGGACACAATATGAATCATCAATAATCAGCATAGATTTGATCTACTCAAACTAACCTCATGGAATCTTGTAGGTAGCTGTTCCCCATTACAACATGTCATTATCTGATTAAATACCTTTATTGGATCCTGCAGTAAGTAAAAAGAAATTAGGTGGGAGAAAAAACACATAATGACTAATCAATATATTTCTTATTTCAGCATGTTAATTTAGAGAAAAATGCCAATAAGCACACCAACAAAGAAATTCAAAATATAAAATGTAATATACTTTTCAATTTTTTTATTCCTTAACTAGTGTTATTAAGACATTCGTTAACTGAATCCTACTTTTAATTAGACTAATTTGTTCATATGATTACTACTTACCGCTACCAGGTGTTCTTTACGGAGAGAAGCAATGATGTTTCCATCAATATTTTCTTTGGCATCAAACATACGGTCAACCAGTTGCTTGGCAAGTAATTCCACAATTTCTGCTGTGCATCCAATAAGTTAGTAGCAAGAAAATTACAATTATCCAAATGCACATAAGAATACAAAGACAGTTTATCAAAGTCTATATGAATAACCTAATTGATCACAAGCAATCAAAACAAAAAAATATAGTTTCTTTTGGTCATCAAGTAGAATAACATTTTCTTTTGTTTCTAAGAGCAAGAGACGAATGGTAACATTTTCAACTAAGGATTTACGTACTGTTACAATATGAACAATTGATTGTTCGGTGAAAATTTAGAAAGAGCATATTAAGAGTCGTCGCCATGCCTAACTGATTGTCCTCTTAAGTGATGGTAACTGGCAAACTCTATTTTGCTCTCAGATACAAATCAGATCATACACATATATTAACAAGATTAGGGATTAAACCTTCTCGTTTCGGAAAATTACTCTCGGCTGGAGGCATTTTTTCAATTGTGGCAGATAAATCCAAGTTCCTACAAGCATCAGAGGGGACTGAAGATGCAGCTCTTGAATGCATTCTCATAGGTAAAGGAGATTTTGTGTATTTGTTGTATCCATTCTGATTGTTCATCTGCTTCAACTCTTGAAATGATTTAAGTGCCAAAATGCAATCAACCACTTTGGCCGCCGATCCTATTTCTAGTGTTTCCTGAAAATAAATAACCAACATACTTGTTCATACACACTCATCCATATAATCAAACGCTTGAGAACTATGCAAATTTACTGATAAAAACACTATTCTTTCTCTTTCTAGATTACACCAATTGCACCAAGCGACACATATCAAAGCAAGCACTGCTGGTGAATTATTTGGATGTGCAAGTTGAAAACACGAAATCAATATACAACATACCCTTTCAAGATCAGAAGCTTCAAATGCCGGAAGCTTTAATTCTTCCATTGCAACCAGAAAGTTGCGTAAATTTACAAAATACTGGTAAGCGGGCAATGGCTGAGAATCCCAAGTAAGCGATTGTGAAGGCATTTGATTATCCACAACCACGACCTTAAAGAAAAATCATCAAAAAGTGGTATAAGCATCTGTGGGGAGAAGAAAAAGAGAGAATAAAAATGAAAAACTCAAACTACGCAATTTGAACCTGCCACCAATTGATCAGTCAATTTAATATATAATAAGTCTTTTTGTTTTCAATATACATTAAGAAAACATAAATCATATAAGGATTATAATGTAGTACTTTAGGCACTGCTCCTGGATGAATCTTGTTAATGGCATTGCAAAGAATCAGACCATTTCTCAAGCAAGAAAGGAGTTCTCTCTCTGTAGGCTGGTTTGATATACCAAGAGGACCCACTTGGCTTTCTAGCCACTGGGTTGCCATATAGCGTCTGCAAGCTGCACAATTTATTGTAACATTCTATCAGACAAACCAATAGCACAGTAAAAAAAGAAATTTTTTCTTCGTCAATAATCATCATCATCATCAAGCAAACATCTTGGAACTCAAAAACAAGCACAAAGTGAAGCCTTGGCTAATGAAAACGCAAACGGACCCGCTTCTTCAGCTTTTCTTGAAGCCATATTGAAATCACGAGTCTCATTTCTCGTACCATACTCCATGGTTGATAAAAAAGAAACCAAAAACCCGGTTCCTGCAAGGTTTTGAGAAATGAGAGTAAAACCAAAATGATTACACAAAACAAAGCACAACCCAAGATGGCCCTTTTGTTTGTTCCTGAAACCAAAACACATACATACCCAAGTTGAAGAGAACCCCAAAAAAATGACCTTATTTTCTGTAGGTCTTTTGCAAAGGACTCAAAAAGAAAGAAACCCAGAAAAGTGAGAAGAGTAGAGGAGTGGTTGTTTTCTGGAGTTAGAATGTGGTTTTTGCTTTGGTTCGGGATAGCTTTGAGCTCCGAACCTCAGCTACGGAATCATAACGTTACATTTGATTTTGAATTCAAATTGGTACACGCTTTTGGGTCCACTTAGCGATTACAGTCCGTCCGTTTTGCATACTGAGTCCACACATCTAACGGTGCATATTTTTCTCATTAGAATTTCTCGGAATCAAGGCAAAATTTGTGCATGTATATATATATACACATAAACGGAAATAAATTCTTACATATACATGTTTTCGGATTATATTGGTTAAATAAATAAATTATTTTCTAAATTCTTTCGATATTATAAAGTTTCTTATTATTAATTATATAATAATGGTAATAATTTACTCTCTTTTTTTGACATAGGTAATTATTTACTCTTATACCATATATCTTAGACATGTACCATTTTTTTTTACCATTTGGAGAGTAAAACTTTTATTTTCTTCGCTCTGTTACATAAACATTTTTACTAAATTCAAAGCAACAACAAAAAATGTGTTTCTCAACTGTTTCAAATTAATCATATTTTATTTATTCATTTATTTATATATAATTAAAAAAATTATTAATTATCTATTGATTTTAATTTTATAAAATAACTATTTGCTTTGTGTAATCAACAAACTAAAATATTAATATATTCTTAGCAAAATATTGGGTCAAACTTGTTCAGTTAATTTATATGATTACTTGTAGGATCAATTTTGAAACATTTGTTCTACCAATCCAAAATCAAGTTTATTGTTTACTAAATTATTTTTGCTATAATGAATTAAATTGACAACTCATACCATCAAAATTAATATTAAAATATTCAAATTATCATGTAAATAGTAATACTAATTCTTATGTGGGGATACCATGAGATTCACATGAAAAATGTGAAATCAAAATAGTTTATTATTTTTGTATTTATTTTCTAATTTTTATTTATTTTATATAAAAAATAAAAACACCTAGAAACGTACCATAGTTAAGAAGTATTTTAAAATGTTTTAGATTCAACTTCCAATGAAATAATATATTTAAATTTAGACTATTTAGAAAATATAATAATGCCTACAACCATACTTAAAGTTTATTTGTACTGGAAATACTTATTAAATTAAAATAATGTGTTTATCATTAAAACAAATATTATTTTTGAGTTAAAATTGCGTGTTTAAATGAGAGAAATTGATCAGTCAACAGTAAGATTTATAAATTAAAGTTAAAGATTTATATTATTAATATTAAGATTTGATTAACTTATGCTTAAATAAAGTGCTTAAATATTTTTAATATTGAGGTGTTTGAAAGAATTTTCAAATAAGTTTACTTTTTATCAAAGTAGTTGAGGAAATACTTAATTGTTTGAAACCAGTTCTGATTAAAAAATGTACAATATTTTTATTCTTAAACAATTTTTGTTTGGGAATTTCATTTAAGATTTTTAAGTTATTTTATTTATTTATGAAAAATATTAACTAAGTAATTCTTATTTTAAAATTAAACATTGTTATGTATTATCTATGATTCAACTAGTTTATTTTTAACGATTTTTTTTGTTTTTAAAATAAAAAATAATTAAATTTTAACTAACTTGTATTAATAAATATTATTATGCATAGTAAGTTTAAATAAAAAATATAAAATAGTGAGTAGTTTATAATTCCTTAAAGTTTATTTTATTTTAATAAAATTGGTTGTGAATTATCTAATGATAATGTGACATAATGAGATTGTGTTTTGCATTTTTTTTCAAGTGAAAAACAATTTATGTGAGTAATTCTCATTGGAATTATACTACTGATGAATTAAATATACACAAATTTCGATTTTAGTTTTTTTGTCTTCTTTTATTTTAGAGAATATTTTTCTTTTTAAGGAGTGAAAATTAAAAAAAATTAATATACATATAGTAAACTAAACGCTTTTTAAATAAAGAAGGTATTTTTTCAATTATAATCTAATTGAAGAAATTTTTTTATAGGATCACTTATTCAAATTTTAAAACTTCAAGAAAAAAATATTGCTTAAAAATAAAAAAAAATAATTATACTATATATATATATAATATTTAAAGATAATAAAATGTCTTTTTAATTAAAAATACGTATTAGTTTTAAAAAGGGAAAATTTGAACATCGAGCATAAATATTTTTTTCCACAACAAATTTTAGGTTTATTTAGATGTATTGATTCCTTATAAATAAATCAATTGAATTGTTTGGTAATAATATTTTGTTTAGAGTATGAGAAGCTATTGTCTCATAATTATAAAGTTGTTTTATGATATGAATCACAAGGGGTGATTTAGGATCTTTAAGGTTAGAACCTTGTAGAAAATTTAGTAATTTAGTGATAAGGTGGAAGGAAAGAATCACTCTTTCCAAGGAAGACAACACACAAAGGATGTGAAAGTCCTTTGATACAACAAAATATTCTTGAATCACTCAAGAACTTAGGAGAATCACTCTCACTAAGATAAAAGAGATAAACTCTAATATTTCTAAAAATAAACTCAACTTGTTATTTCGATAAAAATGGTTCAGACTTATAAAGAAGCTTTGCCATCGGAGTTACAAATATTCATTAAAGGAAAATAAATGCTAATAATGATTTATTAACTTAGGAATTGAAAACTACTTAATGATTGATTGTAACTGAAATTGTAGCTTCCAAAAGTCAATTAGTTATGCACCCTCTTGGTCTCCTAAAGACTGATAACTAAATTTTCAATTGGACCCTTATTACAACTTGCAATAAAACTAAACTAAAATCCATTAATTGATTAATCCAAAATACAATTTGGTCAACCAACAATACTTATTCAAGAGTTTCTTTTGTTTCCCTTGCTCTAGCCCTTATTATAGGTCATGTTCACATCATTCTCTTCCTCTTGAAAAGGATTTGTCCTCAAATCGGATTCGTCATCTACATTAAAAAGAGATAAGTCTGACAAATTAAATGTAGAACAAACATTATACTCACTTTTTATGGTTAAATAGCTCTGTTTCACTTCAAGTGTTTCGCTCTTCTTCTTTTTTTCTCTATTTTCTTGAAGAAAATTTTCTCTCATTCTCTTTTTATCCTCCTCTGCCATCAATTTGATGTTCAAACCTTTAAACCGGGACTCTAATACCAACTTATATGAATTATAAGGGGTAATTTAGGATCTTTAAGGTTAAAACATTGTAAGTAATTTAGGAATTAGAAAGAAGGTGGAAGGAAAGAATCACTCTTTCCAAGGAAGACAACAACAAAAGATGTGAAAGTCCTTTGATACAGCCAAATATTCTTGAATCACTCAAGAACTTAGGAGAATCACTCTCACTAAGATAAAAGATATAAACTCTAATATTTCTAAAAATAAACTCAACTTGTTATTTCTGATAAAAATGGTTCAGCTTATAAAAAAGCTTTGCCATCAGAGTTACAAATATTCATTAAAGGAAAATAAATGCTAATAATGATTTATTAACTTAGGAATTGAAAACTACTTAATGATTGATTGTAACTGAAATTGTAGCATCCAAAAGTCAATCAGTTATGCACTTTCTTGGTCTCCTAAAGACTGATAACTAAATTTTCAATTGGACACTTATTACAACTTGCAATAAAACTAAACTAAAATCCATTAATTGATTAATCCAAAATACAATTTGGTCAACCAACAATACTTGTTGAAGAGCTTTTTTGTTTCCCTTGCTCTAGTCCTTATTATAGGTCATGTTCACATCAGCATAAATACATATTAGTTTTAAAAAGGGAAAATTTGAACATCAGCATAAATATTTTTTTCCACAACAAATTTTAGGTTTATTTAGATGTATTGATTCCTTATAAATAAATCAATTGAATTGTTTGGTAATAATATTTTGTTTAGAGTATGAGAAGCTATTGTCTCATAATTATAAAGTTGTTTAATTAAGCTATTGTTTCGATATTATAAAGTTTCTTATTATATTATAATAATGGTAAGAATTTACCCTCTTTTTTGACATAGGTAATGATTTACTCTTATCATATATCTTGGAGATGTACCATTGTTTTTTGTTACCGGGAGTGAAACTTTTATTTTCTTCACTCTGTTAAATAAACATTTTTAATAAATTCAAAACAACAACAAAAAATGTGTTTCTCAACTATTTCAAATTAATCTTACTTTATTTATTAATTTATTTATATATAATTAAAAAAGTTGTTAATTATCTATTGATTTTAATTTTATAAAATAACTATTTGCTTTGTGTGATCAACAAACTAAAATATTAATATTCTTAGAAAAATATCGGGTCAAACTTGTTCAGTTAATTTATATGATTACTTGTAGGAGCAATTTTGAAACATTTGTTCTACCAATCCAAAATCAAGTTTATTATTTAGTAAATTATTCTAAAATAAGATCTTAATATAGAAATATAAGAAAGAAATAAATATAATTGATAATAAGATTATTTTTATTTAAGCTTTTAGTTTGAAAAAAAAAGTGTAGAGTTAAAAGTGAGAAATGTAAAAAAAAAAATAGTAGAAAGTAATAATTTTTCTTGTTTAATAATAAAAAAATATAATATTTTATTATAATGGACATGTTTATTTTTTTCTATAATGAAAAATGAAAGAAAAATGTTATTTTATAAAATTATACTTATTATTTATTTTTTATGTTTATAATTTTAATATATATATATATATATATATATATATTATTCTAAAAATAAAATAAATAATTGTATATATTTTTATTAATTTAATTTCAAATAATTAAAAAAATATAAAAAAATATTTTATAATTATATATCAAAGTATATATTGTTAAATATATATATATATAATTTAAATATATTATTTAAAAATTTATTTTATTAATAAAATACTACTAAAAAAGTTATGCAATTTTTCTTGTAAATTATTTTTTATATTTATAAGAATTTTATTTCTTATATTTTTATAAAAAATTTACTAAAATATTTTTATAAAATATGAGAATTTCTAGTAATAATAAATTAACTAATAATTATATGGATAATTTAGTAATTAAATAAATATTTAATTTTGATTTAATTATTTATTATTTTTAAAATGGACCATTTCCTTTATTTTCATATCACTTTTCCTTAAGCCAATAAAAATATTTTCTACTTTATTTTATCGCTAT